CATGAGTTTTATTAAATTATTTTGCAAACTATTAACAGATTCAATTTTCATTATCCTAATTTCATTAAATAAAAATTATCTAAAAACTTTAACAATTTTCACGTTTATTTCATTGAATTCCGGGAACTCACGGCATTCATAATTGTTTTACTCACCTTTCACAAAAGCATCCACGTCGTCTTCTGTTAGGTCAGGGATCATTAAACTTTTTTGATCGCTGGCCGAGTATGACTCAAACTGTGCTGAAACGGGCCGGATGAATATATTTTTTAATGCAATATAATAAATTCACAAAAGTTGGGAAATCCTTTCAACAATATATATTCTACATTTCTGAAGACTTGAATATTAAATTTTAATTATATTGCAGAAGATAGATCGAGAACATCCTAGGAAAACAAATATATAAGATTTTTATATTTAGATAACTATCCTGAGTTTAGCTGTTATCAAAACGTTGCTGTCATGAATTAGGAATGTTACAAAATCAGCTTTTTCGCGCCAAAAAATGTACGCATCACGTCTGCTAAGTAGCCCACCGTTACGCCGTGTTGGAATACCGCTCATAATGATTATTACGGACTGCTTGCTGTAGCTTGGAATTCCATGAAATTTCGACATAATTTAGATAAAATATGCAATCTCTATACAATCTCAAGATTAAACTATACAAAACTCAGGAACAACTCCAATTAAATGAAAGGCATAATATAGAAAGTGAATTGACCAGAAAAATAATCAATAAGGTGATATGGAGAATTAAAAATGTGAAAGGGACCCAAAGTGATATTAGGAAGATAGAAAGAATTGAAGAGTGGCTCAAAATAAACAATAACGAGACTTGAACACGACTGTAAAAAGCCACTATGCCCAAACTGTCATTAAATCCATCGTTTTTTATACTACCCCATCACGCTCACCATAAATGGTAGCAAGAACGAAAGTAATACCATCAAACGACCCAGCGGAAATGAAGATACTGAAGCTTGAGGGGTGTTAACTGTTATGTACGTAGCAGCCCCTAATATGTATGATTGCTTTTGAAGCAACATGCTTATAAAGCGTCATAACGTTATGAATCGGACATGACGTATCAAGAAGATACTGATCCGAAATAAATCGTATTCTGATCTGTAAAAAAAAAAAAAAAAAAAAAAAATTTAGATAAAATATACAACTATTATCTGATATTTGATTTTTTTCATTAGCGCATAAATTTCCCAACATTCGGGGGTTTTAAAAATTACGCTCTCGGTATACGTAGTGAAAATTAAAGATATTGTCTATGGACATCAATAATATTTATATGGACGTGTGTATTTCTTTCCTAACTTAATACTTACCAATTTTTATGAAGTTTGTACGATCAGAACATCGTTGAATATTACCCACAATGAACCCCTGTCAAACTATCATGCACAATTCTAGCGTTTATTTGCGACGATCTTTCGGCGGTATCGTGCCAATGACCGTTGCCAGAACAAATCCTGAAATAGTCTCAATATTCCCTAAATGTGACGCACATCGAAAGACTAGTGATTGATATGTGTTCTTTTTTCAAATTTTTTACAGTTCATATCAAAAAGGTAATACAATCCTTATGGAAAAAATTGGCCTGCCGGGCGGTACTAAAATTCCGATATCTCCGTTATTTTTTGACAGTTTTTTTTATAAACTTGGCACTGTTGTCTATTTTCACTCAGATCTATCCACTGGTGCAGTTTTTATTTGAATCGGATGAACTTTAATTTTTTTGTAACATTACCTATACATGAATATCCGCATTTAAGCAGTACAGAAGTTAGTGTGACTTGTGAAATTGGAGCAGTACTGTTAGCGCAAAATGCAAATTCAACGTTTATTTTAGCACAAGAAACGTAAACAGTTTCGTTGAAAGCACGCGTCACGAGTGTACAAGTGCATATTTCGCAGAAAACGTTGCGTACCGGTAGTGAATTTTAGCCTATTTTGTCACAGCTATTCCTAGACTAATTTTCATTACTACTATTAAAACTACAACTCCGGAGGAAGCAAATGATGATTGACTTATTTGATTCGTATATATACTTAAATTTCCGAAACACAACCAAAAACTAACAAATAGCATTCAAAGTCGCAAAACGAAGTATTGTTTACAACCACGACTGAAAATCTGTCAGGATGACAAAAGTGTTTGAGCGGGTGCGAAATGGCCTTTTATTACGTCACTTTTTTGCATCTTGCTGATTGGCCAATGTTACGAAATAAACAAGGAAGACGATGCTCGGGAAAAAAATTAAAAATAAAATTGAAAACTTATTTGCTCCTTTGAGATACGATGTGAGTGATCTTATATGAATAATCTTGTTACTTTAGTAAGATTTACTGTTGTTTTTTAAATTAATAATGTTAAAGGAAGTAAAACTAGTTTGTTAAGACTTGATAGAGTTATAAAACTTGTTTTTCACTGGACATAATTAAGTTAAACAGCCCCAAGCCATATCACAATGACGAATCAGTTTTAACATAATTCATCTTTGTTACACACTTTATTAAGACATTTCCGGGCATGTTCATTCTCTATATAAGATCACAAATGGTATCACTAATTGTTACGTATTTTAAGGCTAAGAGATTGCTTCTAATTTTAAGATTAGAATGACTTTAAGTTTAAACATCACCTGTTAACCAGAAGCAGCAAAATTACCCAATATTCTATAATATCACTGTGACATATCAATCATGTCATGTCATTTTTATTGGTATGAAAAATGGTTTAGAACAAGTTAACCAACTCTAGCTTAAATCATATTAAAAATTAATTGTATTAGGAAATGTCAATTCAAAATTCATTTGTTCTTGTTAAGTTAGGCTTAAGAGGCGGTTGGCGTATCACGATCAAGACAGTCAGGCGAAAACCTTATAACTCAAGAGTTCTGCAATTCGCTGTAATATTGGATTCAACTAATATTTTGATAAATGGTGAGCTGAAAGCTCTCTACTGTTTTCAAAAACAGACGAGAAACAGTTGCTGGAAACTTTATGTGGAATTGTGGAAATCGAAGTCATGTTAGTAATAGTTGCGAAACTAAGTTCAGTAATTGCTTGACAAATTAGAAATAACATCGACTCTGGAAATTCAAAATACGACAAATTGAGACAATCTTTCATAACGACATACATATTGTTCAAGACAAGTAGAATCCCGAAATCTCACGCTTTAGAAACCGGTGAATTCTTACTTGAACTTAAACTATCTAACAGAGGCAATTTTTTTTTTACAAATGTGATCCGTTCAGTCTTGGCATAAGCATCAGCGCTTTCCTCGAATTGCTTTTCATTTTTGTAACTAGGGAATTGACAGTTGTTTTCACAATTCAGAATATCTGAAGGCTTTTGTACTTGATGACTTTTTTAAGAGAGAACGTAATGTACAAAAAAAAACACGCACATGAAATTCAAAATTACATTCTTTTCGGTTTATTATGTCTCTTTTTCGTTTTTTACTTTGCTTTCTAGTTTTATTTTATTTTTATCATTTTATTTCGTTTTAACTGTTACGCGTATAATTACGCGTCTCCATTGCTCATTACTGTCAGGTCCAGAAATCACAGTTCCGATGATCTAAAGTTTATTGAAGATGAAATTGCTCGTTTGCCATAATAGAACGGTGGCGTGACCCGGTTACCTGTTTGCTTGAGCCGTGTCCTACATTCATCTTTATTTGCTTTGGGTAGCTATACGTGAATTATTAAAGCTTGGTGTCCGGTAAATTTGTATAGTGAGTAAACGATAACTTGTATTATTTGATTAATTATATGTATTACCTAATTAGGATATACACATACAATAAGATATCTCATTTGTGCCCATCAAATTATCCAGGAATAAATAAATGTAGTTATGTGACGACGAAAATCTGCGAATATGGATAAGCAACTATATGGATTTAAAAGAAATCCGCGAGCGTCTGCTGTCACTTTGCTGGAAACTAGCCATACATCATCCTTTTTATAATATTTATGTCAATTCTGATTTCAATAATAAATTGTCCAAACCATGCAACTATCGATGGGCATGTACCGTATTTTGAGGACCATAAGGCGCACTTTAATTTTTGTTTTTCTCGAAAATTGATCGTGTACCTTATAAGCCGGTGCGCCGAATGTATGGATCACGATTTTGTAAAAAAAAAATATTTATGATATACATTAAAATATCATTTTTATATCAAAATCATCAGTTTTAAGACATTAAATTGTTTCAATGAATAGATATTCGTTATTATGTATTATTATTGAAATTTGTTTGATGTGTGTACAATTACAAAGGTTGTTTTCCCGAGCATCGACTTCCTTGATTACTTCGTGACATTGGTCAATCAGCAAGATGCAACAAGTGACTCTCAGACACTTTTCTCGCTCAGACAGATTTTAAGGCGTGGTAGTAAACATTATTTCGTTTTCGCGTTTTTGAATTCTTTTCGTTAGTTTTCAGTTGTGTTTCGGACATGTAAATATATATAAAATATTTCAATGATCACTTTGTCTTCTTAGGAGTTTCAGTTTGATTGCAGTAATCAAAAATTAGTGTAGATAAATATAGCTGTGATAGACTAGGCTAAAATTCTTTACCGGTACTTCTAAAAAACATATTGTTAAAAGTTATAAATCAGAATGAGGGCTTGAAACAAATATCCCATTTTTCGATCGCTCCCTATCAATCGGCCTGAGTATCCGACATATTTGGTATTTCTCTAAGCTAACGATAATCCAGTGTGAGCATATTCTCTAATAGAAAATATTTGGGGCGCTGATTTACTGCTTCTGTCTGTAACAATGCATTTCAGGGCATTTTATTTGATTCTTCGTAATCTGTTGTAAATTTCCACTTGGTGGTTTGGGCAAAAGTGGTTTTTAGGCGATGAAGTCCGTTTCGGTAGAGATAGGTCATGCATTGTATCCGCGGATTATTTAAAATAGAACGAAGAATTCGCACGTGTCTAAAATAATGGAATCCAGCTTCATGTTTTTATATGTATTTATTGCAACGTCATTTGTTGAAAATATCGAAAACATATTATCAGCATTTGAGGCCAAGTGTTCGCAACGAATCTCCGTTTCAAAATCAATTGAATTCGAATGCCATAGCCATGAGTTTAAATCATTCTGGAAACTATGAACAGGTTATATTTTCATCATCCTATTTTCATTGAATAAAAATTATCTTACAACTTTGACAATTGCAAGTTTTTTTTTATTTAATTCCGGCCATTTTTTTTAATTCAATACGTTGAATCTTCCCTGTGGCTGATTTTGGAATCTTCTTTACAAACTCAATTCCACCTCTCAGTTGTTTGTAATCAACCAGTTCGCCTGAATGATGAAACGTTCTTTATATTACGAAAAATTTGTACTGTTTCCATATGTAAAATTATGTGACTCCTACCTTTCACAAAAGAATCCACGTCGTCTTTGGTTAGATTATCAACCTTCTTCACGACAAATGCTTTTGGAAGTTCACCTGCATAAGTATCAGGAATTCCAATAACTCCTACATCCTCGACTGTGGGATGTTTCAATATAACCCTCTCTAGCTCTGCAGGTGACACCTGAATCAAACGGAACATAGGAATCAAAACTCGTTCACTTTTGAAAATCAAAACACGACAAATTAAGACAATCTTGCATACCGACATACATATTTTTTTAGACTGTAGAACCGCAAAAACGCATGCAGTGGAAAGCGGTAAATACTTATTTAAACCTATCGAACAGTAGAAAATTTCTTCCATAAAAAAGATCACTTCAGTCGTGGCATAAGCATTAGTGCTTTAATCAAATTGTTTTTTCATCTTTGGCAAAACTGTAACTAGAAAATAGACAGCCGTACTCACAATATACCTATACCTGAAAGCTTTTGTACTTGATGACTTCTTTGAGGCGATCAATTATATACAATATTCCATCGTGATCAACATATCCGATATCACCTGTGTGCATCCAACCATCTTTCGTAATAGTTCGTGCTGTTGCATCTGGGTTTCCCATGTATCCTTTCATGACCTGCAAATGGAAGCACTCTTTATTATTTAGTTCTAAACTTACAGTCTGTATATGTACAGTTTTTTCTATGCAAAACATAAATTCAGAAGGTTACTCGGGTTCATTGCCAATTTATCATTCTTTTATGAAAGTAGGTTATGTATATATAAATATGTTAAAGGCGCTCCCAAAAAGCGACAATTTAGAATAAAACTGCAAATTTTTTTTTTTTTTTAAAATAAATTCTAATCCACAGTCACTTTAATTGTGATGTTGGAAAATTGGATTCTATCGTAACTTGGTGGTATTTATCTTTAAAAAAAAATCTTACAATAAAGGAAAAGAGACTTTCCTGGGATAATCCAGGGTTATTCTCAGCAATAACAAGTATGGTCATTAGGTTGCTGTGAAAGTTCACTTTTTTATAAGTTACAATCAAACTTATTGTAATATGACAATAGGAATTTTAGAAGATGTAATGTGCAAGCCCCTTTTAACCATGCTGAATGATGATTTTGATATTTAAAAATAACTTAGCTTTGATACTGAAAACAAATAACCTACAATCCTATCATATTATACCTGAGGCCCTTGTGCGAGAATTTCTCCAGTCTTATTTTCAGAAAGTTCCCTTCCCGTTAGCAGATCAATTATCTTTGATGTGAAAAATTGAATATTTTAACAGAGAATTAATTTTACGCTGTTTATAAATGTATAACATAAATACATATGAACAGGGCCATATTATCTTTATATTACTTTTTGTGAAGGATTGATCTTTCTTTCAAAGGTTACTTTATATAATGGTGATGTTAGGTTGCACTAGACTGACTAGAGAATGATTCGTATTGCGTCTGTTGAACCAGAAAGTTTCGATTCAATTACTATAATTGAAAACAAAAAAGTCAATTCCCAAGAAAGACTGACTTCAGATTTATACATAAGGGAGCAATGCTCGAATATATGGACAAGAAAGCCAAAATGAAGCAGTAATGGTATCTAATCTTCTGCAGTACCGGTGCCGTATTCTTCCAGACCTCGACTGACTAACAGGTTGCAGCGAACGCGAAACCGGCACGAGGTGCAAGTTCTAATTTTTATGACGTCATCACGCAAAAATGAATGCCATAGAGCCTACAGAATTTATTAAACAAAAGCGTTCTAGCAACAAACACAATCTTCAACGATTAAAAATTGCAAAGCACTTGGTCCAGTTGTTAATAAAAAGAGGCGATTTTTTCACGGCAACATGAAAAAGAATACCGACAATAACAAAACGATCCATAGGTCCGCTTTGTGTTCAATAAGTGAATGACAAGTTCTAGCTCATCTGATGCTTTATAAAATTTTACAGTCAGATCTATCACCTATTAGGCCAAATATGAATATTTGGGAATTATACTCACCTTGACTTTTGTATTTGGGACAATTTTTCCCACGCCGTCAAATAAACTTTCTTCTCCAAAATGACAGGCAATAATGAAAAATTCTGTCAGTCCGTACTCTTGATAAATAGAAGTAATATTTTCTGATATCTCGTTTATAGTAACTTTTGCAAGATTAATTCGTAGCTAGTAAGTATCCCGTTAGACTTTTACAATAAAAGTTTTCATTCTATTGTGGTTGCTACCTAGATGTGAGACTTTGTATCAAATAAGTTCAACGCATATATGTATTACACCAAATTAGTGTAGCAATATAGTGGCCATTTGGCTCTGGCACAGACCAACCTCTTTTTATCTTTTGTCTTCGTATAACACCGTAGTGGATATTCAAAACTTTGCGCATAATTAGGTCAAAAATACAAATTCTGTATAATCTAACATTTACCTGGTCTCATGACAACATCAAACTTTTGTGCTATTTTTCTTGATATATCTGGAGAAAGTGCTGCCCCTCCACATGCTACTTGTTTAAGACTGGAAACATCGTAATTTGCGGTGTTGTCATCGTTAACTAGTTCGATTAATATGGGTGGTACCGTCATAATGTAAGTGATCTATAACCACGAATTGATATTAGAACAGATTCAATAAGTGAATAAGTGGGTATCGAATGTAGCCTACTTAATCTAATTTCGAGAACTCATATTGTAGCCTACGTGGACTGGATAGACTCAATTAAACCACTGTCGTACTCCTAAAAACAAATAATTTGTATGTTATGTTAGTGCCCACCCCTAACTCTTAATCTACAACAACAAAGTACAAATTTTGGTGTAGGTGAGATTTCTATTAAGACGCAAATATACATATATATTAATACCCTATATTTCTATCGCTGAATTACCTTATATTTTTCGATCGCACGTAGCATGGTCTTCGTATCAAACTCTTTCTCCAAAACCAACTTTCGTCCAGTTGATAGTGAGACAATTAACCCCCAGAATCCACCCGAATGATACATTGGACGGTCCGAGTACAAAATATCTGTAGTTTCATGTGGCACAAAGTCACTGAAATAATATTTTTGAGGTTATATTGGAGTCCACATTGGTTTCAAGAACCTAACTCCTTAAAAATTCGTTCTACATCAACGCGATTTTTTTTTAATAAACGAATATTACAGTAAAATTAATACTCGGTCTACACCTTGCTATCTGCTTATGAGAAAATGCTCACCGAAAAATCAAAAAGGAGGACGTCAAATTCTTGTGACTTAGCATAACACTTTTTGGTAGTCCTGTAGTTCCGCTAGAATACGGCAATATAGCTAAATCTTCGTCAGCGTTGATAGCAATGTGCTTTGGGAAATCTGGAAGGAAGAAATATCACATATGGATAGTATCATGATTGAAAGTGTCATACGAATGGGTTAAAGTGTTGGAATTTATATATAAAATGTTTTGTATACAAACAAACCTTCACTATATTCGTCACCAATCATCTCGCACATTGTAACGAATTCGCTGCTTTCTCCAATAATAAACATTTTCTGAAATATATAATATAATACGTATTATAAACATTTATGAGAAATTAAATGGGTCTGAAAAAATATATATATTGTGTATAAAACAGTGGAATGAGCAAATATACGTTTCTATCTGATGAATGCTACCTCCAAAGAATCAATTTTTCTCTGGACTTCCTTCATTGTATTCAAGCAGTCTTCGTGTACAAACACCATCTTTGGTTTTGAAATTTGGAATTGTTGTAATATTTCTCCTGTAAATATATTTTGTGAATATTCAAAACAGGAACCTTTATAATAACAGTTTAGCAAGCTTCATTTATTTCGTTTTTAGAATAATCTGAATTTTTCTTATTTGGCAGAAAAAAAACTTTTGTGCAATCATACTGAGTTGAAGATTTGTGGGTAGGTTATTTTTAAAATTAAAACTTGAAAAATAATTAATTGTGTTTTAATGTGGTAAAGGATTGTTTTAATTTTAAACAGGTGTTTCTCAATGTCAGGTTTCATTTGTTTCACTTTGCTACACCTGTTTCACTGTTCTGAGTTATAGGGTAGATATATATTTATAATGCGATAGAAACTATTGAAACTAATGAAAACCATTAATTGTGTTAGATATATATTGTGGTGCAATTGGTAAAATAAACATATGAAGTGAATTTATGCAATAGGTTATGTTAGAATAGATACAATTCTTAGGCTGGAGGTGTTATATAATCTCATATTCATTACTTCATTTCGACGAAAAGTGGGACACCGACTTTTTTGAAGACCAAAAATCAGTTTGCTTGGCTTATGAATCATAGTTTGCTTGTTTGAAAGCTACCCACAAAGTGAACGACGGTGAGCGTGAGCTTTAAAAGTGGCAGTTTGACATTTTCCTTTAAGATTCTTAAAAGGCGGGATGCCAGTAGGCCTACGTACTGGTTGGTATCGTATATAAATCAATAATAAGAAATGAATCTCAGATCTGGTCAATTTTGGAGTATACTTACCCACGCTATACGCAGGGTTACAAGGGGTGACAACACCGCCACAGGCAAGAACACCTAACATTGCAACTGGGAATTCGAGTGAAGAGGGAGAACAAAGGCCAACCACATCTCCTTTGCCAAGTCCTGCTTTGTGTAAATACCCAGCACAGTTCCTTGATTGGTCATAGACTTGCTTGAATGTTAGCGACTTTCCATCGATTGAATTGTCAACCTGAATAAAATTTTATTCGATGTTTGGTGATATAATATTCTCAATGACTAAACATGTGGTACTTTCATGGCCAAAATTAAATGAATAATATAAAACAATCAATTTGATATAACATTTATTTCCCCAGAAATTATTTTAAAATGAGAAAACTGGGCGATTTTGCCATCAGCACATTTTTAAATTGATGCGTGTCTTTACTTGAACAAAATGAATTCTGCGAAGTTTTTACGCAGTGATACCGGTACTACCCACACATACAATCACTATTAAGGCAACACTTCAATGCCAAATATAAAATAAACAATCAAATTTGCTATAAAATTAGTAGCTTTGAGGTTTTTATTGAATAAAGCCATCGACCCAAATAAATTTTCAGGCGACCAAGTTTTGAGTCGCGACTTATAGGTTGAGAAACACTGGTGTAAATGACTCACGTTATTATTATAATGCAAAAAACAACACGATACTTATACACACGTTCTCATACCATTCCAATATTATTATACAAATGCGGATCCCACATTAATAATTAGATAACATTTATATTGGCCTTTTTCCAGGTGGCGAAATGTAAAATTACATAAATACGCAAAAACATGCGTCACTTGAAGGACCTAGATCAGGAGTCGGGAACCTTTTTGGTCAAGAGAGCCCTAAAATATACATATTTTCAATTGCATTTCCGTGCGAGCCATATAACATTTCTTCACTTAATCAGGCCTGAAACGTTTACTCAAAAGTCAACATTCCATGTCAATATACATTTAATGTGACTTCTGATGCTGCATGTTGTCGCTGCGGGCCTAGAACGGTTGCTCACATGCAGCCCAAGTTGAAATCTACGATACTCATCACCTTTTTTCGTTTAGGCATCTCCGTAGTATTTTAAAACTATATCGCTTTGTGATGTCACAATATATGTTCCAGAATCCCCATGTTTTGTCACAATGCCTGTCTGGTAATTCTCTTGAATAACATAGACATGCGCTGGGCCCGCGTTGTCAAACGTATTGGGAATGTTTTGCCAAATTTGGCCATAAAATAGTTTGAAGTCTAGTAACAATAGTGAGCTTAATCTTAGAATAATAGATTTGTCTGGGAGCCATACGCCGTCACCAAAAGAGCCATATATGGCTCGCGAGCCATGGGTTCCCGACCCCTGACCTAGATAGACCTCTGCGAGTGGATGCAGACAATTTGCCCTGATACTTTTGTAAAGCAATTATCGTTTAATCAAAGTCGCTGAATGATCTGAAAACAGCTTAAATAAGTTATACAAATGCTCATTGTGATTTTAGAGTGATGTGTACGAATGCTAAATTCTATATTATATTCCGTTATGCGAATTATATTGCAATTTTAATATTTCCTCAATAGATTCACTTACCAACGCAATTTTATCTCCGAGATCTTTTATTCGGTGAAAAATAAATTCTGATAACGAATTTTCTGAAAGTTGCACATCTGGTAATTGACTACTGAACGACATAATGAAGCTAATTTACAGTTCTACTACGAATCAAGCGAATAACTTGTGAAAAGTACCCTTGAATGTTCGTTCTAACCCTGTGGTCGCCGAGATCGGAAGGTTCTTTTAGCCTTGATTAACTTCAATTCTACAAACACAAAATATTCTTCATTATTACCTTTTGAGTTTCAATCCACAATTTCGTGACAAAATCTGGTGTTACATAAATGGTGATAGTTATTCGGAAAGAAAGTCTTACGAAACGCGATAAAACCCAAAAACGAGGACGTACACGTACAATAGGATATCTCCTTTGTTTCCACGAAATTATCCAGGATTAGAGAAATGTAGTTTGAGAAAATGGACAATTAAATTATAGTTTAATAGGCTTATGTGATGACGAAAATCTGCAAATATGGATAAGCGACTAAATAGATTTAAAAGAATGCGAGAGAATAACATGAATATACTTTACTTTCTAATGATTATTAGCTTGCCTTCTCGAGGAATCTTATCACAAAATCAAGCCAATACACCAGATCAGACAAGCTCATAGAATCTTAACGTCTAACGACGAGAACTTATTTTTGAAAGTTTCTGCTGATAATTTTTGCAAATATAATAAATTTTCGTATCATAGGGGTTGTCGCAGAAAATGTGAAAAGTCCAACCAAACGTGTGCCCGATTGATTTTTGTTCAAACGTCCATGTTGATTCGTGTTTCGCCGGCGGATAAATGTTTATCCGGCTTTCAATGTGCACATCTACGAGCGTCTGCCGTCACTTTGCTGGAAACTAGCCATACATCATCTATTTTATGATATTAATGTCAATTTTGATATCTCTAAACTACATTTTTCCTAGCATGTTGTTCAATAATAAATTGTCCGCACTATGCAACTTACATGTACCGTAGTTTTCGAACCATAAGGCGAATTTTTATTTTTCTCAAAAATCGATAGTGCGCCGAATGTATGGATCAGGTAGCGCTGTAAAGATTGATTTGCCACGTCGAGGATTGTATTAAATTTGCACACGTTATATCTTGTAATGTAAACAAGTGGGCGCTCACAACTTAATCGATCATCACGCTATATTATTTCACGAATATCCGTTTTCAAAATCAATTAAATTCGAATGCCATAGCCATGAGTTTTATTAAATCATTTTGAAAACTATGAACCGATTCAATTTTTAATAAAAATTATCTAAAAACTTCAACAATTTCACGTTCATTTTATTCAATTCTGGCCATCGCTTTCAAATTAAATACGTTGAATCTTCCCAGTGGCTGATTTTGGAATCTTCCTAACTAACTCAATTCAACCTTTTAGTTGTTTGTAATCAACCAGTTCGCCTGAATGCTGGTGAAAAGTTCTTTATAATTACGAAAAATTTGTAATGTATTCACATGTCAAATTATATGACTCCTGTAGAATGGTTTGAAAATCTCTCATAGTAATTTTACTCAGCTAAACCTCAGCGAACTCACGGCATCCATAATTTTTTTACTCACCTTTCACAAAAGCATCCACGTCATCTTCTGTTAGATCAGGGGTCACCAAACTTTTTTGACCGCGGGCCGAGTATGGCTCAAACTATGCTTAAACGGGCCGGATGATTATTTTTGTCAATGCAATACAATAAATTCACAAAAGTTGGGAAATCCATTCAACAATATATATTCTACATTTCTGAAGACTTGAATATTAAATTCTATCTATATCGCAGAAGATAGATTGAGAACATCCTAGGAAAACAAATATACAAGATCTCTATATCTAGACAACTAACCTGAGTTTAGCTGTTAACAAAACGTTGCTGTCATGAATTAGGAATGTTACAAATCCGCTTTTTCGCGCCAAAAAATGTACGGATCACGTCTGCTAAGTGTTGGAATATCGCTCATAAAAACGACTACGGACTGCTTGCTGTAGCTTGGAATTCCATGAAATTTTGACATAATTTAGATAAAATATACAACTATTATTTGGTATTTGATTTTTTTCATTAGCGCATAAATTTCCCAACATTCGACGCTTTTAAAAATTACGCTTTAGGCATACGTAGTGCAAATTGATGATATTGTCTATGGACACCAATTTTATTTATATGGACGTGTGGTGTGTATTTCTTTCCTAACTTAATACTTACCAATTTCTATGAAGTTTGTACGATCAGAACATCGTTAAATATTACCCACAATGAACACCTGTCAAACTATCATGCACAATTCTAGCGTTTATTTGCGACGATCTTTCGGCGGTGTCGTGCCAATGACGGTTGCCAGAATAGAATCCTGAAATAGTCTCAATATTCCATAGATGTGACGCACATCGAAAGAATAGTGATTGATATGTGTTCTTTTTTCATATTTATTACAGTTCATATCAAAACAGTAATACAATCCTTATGAAAAAAATTAGCCTGTCGAGCGGTACTAAAATTCCGATATCTCCGTTATTTTTTGACCGTTTTTTTTTATAAACTTGGTATTGTTTTCTATTTTCACTCCGATCTATCCACTGGCGCAGTTATTATTTGAATCGGATGAACTTTATGAATATATAATAACCTACATGAATATCCGCATTTAAGCAGTACGAAAGTTAGTGTGACTTGTGAAATTGGAGCAATACGCAAGGGATCACAGTACTGCTAGCGAAAAATGCACATTCGACGTTTATTTTAGCACAAAAACGTAAACAGTTTCGTTTGAAGCACGCGCCACGAGTGTACAAGCGCATCTTTCGCAGAAAACGTTGCGTACCGGTAGAGAATTTTAGCCTATTTTGTCACAGCTATTTCTAGACTAATTTTTCATTACTACTATTACAACTACAACTCCTGAGGAGGCAAATGATGATTGACTTATTCGATTGGTATATACTTAAATTTCCGAAACACAACCAAAAACTAACAAATAGCATTCAAAGTCGCAAAAACGAATTATTGTTTACAACCACGAGTGAAAATCTGTCAGGGTGACAAAAGTGTATAAGCGGGTGCGAAAAGGCCTTTTATTACGTCACGTTTTTGCATCTTGCTGATTGGCCAATGTTATGAAAAAAACATGGGAGATGATGCTTGGGAAAATCTTCATTGGAAAAAAATTTAGCCATTTTTGCGTGTTATTGCGGGCCGGATAAAATAAGGCGCGGGCCATAGTTTGGTGATCCATGTGTTAGATCATCAACCTGCTTGAGACAAATGCTTTTGGAAGTTCACCTGTATAATTATCAGGAATTTCAATACCTCCTACATCCTCGACTTTGGGATGTTTCAATATAACGCTCTCTAGCTCTGCAGGTGACACCTGAAGCAAACGAAACATAAAATTTAAAACTCATTTGCTCCTTTGAGATACGATGTGAGTGATAATTATATATATGGATAATCTTGTTATTTTAGTAAGATTTACTGTTGTTTTTTAAATTAATGTCCACGGAAGTAAAACTAGTTCGTTAAGACTTATAAAGAATTATAAAACTTGTTTTTCACTGGACATAATTAAGTTAAACAGCCCCAAGCCATATATATCGAATCATGACGAATCAGTTTTAATATATTTCATCTTTGTTACACACTTGATTAGGACATTTCCGGGCATGCCTATTTACAATATAAGATCACGAATGGTCGTTTCAAGCTGGTTTTGGTATCTTCAGGGCATGACGCGATATCGTCATGTAAACTATAGGACAGGGTTGGGCAACCTACGGCCCGCGGAGTAACATAATCCGGCCCGCGACGCTTCACAGAACTATAGTAACAAAACAGCTGTTTTGACAATTATATTTTTCATGTTACACAATCACAATTCATTGAGAGACGCGTTTAGACTAAATTATAATATAATCTAAGAAGTATAAAATTTACAATTACTCGTTTAATGAGCCTATAATTTAATTATAATTAGACAAATGGCAACAAAACGCAGAAATGCTGATGCTAAGTGCAAAGGGTTCAAAGGCGCCAAAAATGCAATACAATGAGAAAATAAATATATATTCTTTTCGAGAGATGTATCATCGCTTCATTTTTAGTATAAAAAGTATTATCCTTTCGTTTTTCAACTTTCTGAAAATATTTGCCGCCCGCCAATGAATTGCAACCCATATTTTGGCCCGCGAGAGACAAAAGGTTGCCGACCCCTGCTATAGGACGTCTCATTGTTCCGTATTTTATGGCTAAGAGATTGCTTCTAATTTTGAGATTAGAATGACTTTAAGTTTAAACAAGTAACTTATTACCCAAAAGCAGCAAAATTTCCCAATATCTTATAATCTCACTGTGACAATCACCCATTGGTATGAAAAATGGTTTAGAACAAGATAACCAACCCTAGCTTAAGTCATATTAAAAATTAATTGTATTAGGAAATGTCAATTCAAAATTCATTTGTTCTTGTTAAGTTAGGCTTCAGAGGCGGTTGGCGTATTACGATCAAGACAGTCAGGCGAAACCTTATAACTCAAGAGTTCTGCAATTTGCTGTAATATTGAATTTAACCAATATTTTGATAAATGGTGAGATGAAAGCTCTCTGCTGTTTTCAAAAACAGACGAGAAACAGTTGCTGGAAAATTTATGTGGAATTATGGAAATTGAAGCCATGTTAGTAGTAGTTGCGAAACTAAGTTTAGTAATTGCTTGACAAATTAGAAAAAACGTCGATTTTGGAACTTCAAAATACGACAAGTTAAGACAATCTTTCATAACGACATACATTTATTGTTCAAGACAAGTAGAATCCCGAAATCTCACGCACTAGAAATCGGTAAATTCTCAATTTAACTTAAACTATTTAACACAGGCAATTTTTTTTAACAAAATCAGTTCAGTCTTGGAATAAGCATCAGCGCATTCGCTGAATTGCCTTTTCATTCTTGTAGCTAGGGAATTGACAGTTTTTTTCACAATTTAGAATACCTGAAGGCTTTTTGTACTTGATGACTTCTTTAAGGCGATCAATTATATACAATATCCCATCATTATTAACATATCCGATATCATCTGTGGGAATCCATCCGTCTTTTGTAATAGTCCGTGCTGTTGCATCTGGGTTTCCCATGTATCCTTACATGACCTGCAAAGGGCAGCCCATTTTAATTTTCAATTCTTAGCTTGCAGGCCGGTAGGCAGAATAATAAATTCAGAAGGTAGTTTATGTAGTAGTTTATGTGCTGATACATATGTTCAAGGCGCTCCCAAAAAGTGACAATAAGGAACTGGTTTTGCAAAAGTTTTTTTTTTATATATATGCCCTCTAATTCACACTTAATTTAATCGTGACTGATCGGGAAAATTAGATTCTATCGTGACCTGGTGGTATTTATCATTAAATAAAAATCTCAGAATAAAAAAAAGCCTTTTCTTTGACAATCGAGGGTTATTCTCAGCAATAACAAGTATCAGCATTAGGTTGCTGTGAAATTTTACCCTTTTTCTAAGCCACAATCAAACTTGACCTAATATGAATATACGGAATTTTAGGAGCTGTACTGGGCAAGCCTTTTATAAAACCATTTTGAATGATGATTGTGATAATGAAAAAAACTTCTATGTCAAGTGACTATTATAAAATTGGCAACTCAAAATAAATATAAACGCATTATTCCACATCTTCGCTTTGGTACTTGAAACAAGTAACATACAAACTTATTATATTGAACCTGAGGTCCTTATGCAAAAATTTCTCCAGTCTTATTTTCAGAAAGTTCCTCTCCCGTTAGCAGATCAATTATCTTTATTGTGAAAAATTGAACATTTCAACTAAGAATTAATTTTACGCTGACAAGGACATATTATCTTTATACAGATTTTGTGAAGGTTACTTTATATAGTAGTGATGTTATCTTGAACAAGAGTATGCTATGTATTGCGTCTGTTGAGCCGGAAAGTTTCGATTCAATTACTGTATTTAAAAACAAAAAAGTCAATTTCCAAGAAAGACTGACTTCAGATTTATACACAAGAGAGCAATGCTCGAATATATGGCCAAGAAAGCCAAAATGAAGTAGTAATGGTATCTAATCTTTATGCAGTACCGGTGTCGTATTCTTCCAGACTTCGACTGACCAACAGATCGCAGCGAAGTCGGAATCGCCACAAAATGCGCAAATTTTAATTATTCTCACACAAAAAATGGGACCTCCTGAAGTATGCGCACCAAAATGGCGCACAACCTGAACTCAGGTTGTGTACCAGGTTAGGTTCAGGTTATGCGTCATCTTGGTGCGTTTTGTGCGTACAATTAGTTTAAAAATACACTTTGTGTAATATCTAACATTTACCTGGTCTCATGAAAACATCGAACTTTTGTTCTATTTTTCTTAATTTGTCATGAGAAAGGGCTGCCCCTGCGCATGTTATTAGTTTAAGACTGGTAACATCGTAAGGTAAAATCTTTATTTACGGTTGTGTCATCGTTAACTAGTCGGATTAAGATTGGTTGTACCGTTATAAGACCGGTGATCTATTCTAAAACCACAAAATGATATTGGAACAGATCAATAGGTTGCGATTGGGCGAATTGGGAGATTGTTTCACAGCTCAACTGAACCCGTGTAGCCAGCCTGTGTCTTGCATATGTGACGACCCTTGTTTTATTGGACACGTTTAGTGGCCATAACGATCGTTTCAATATTATGTTGTTGTTGTTGTTGTTGTTCTTGTTCTTTGACACGTTTTTAAAAAATCGCTTTTCTCTTCGAATACTGGACCAATTGCTTTGAAAGTGGTGGTTAAAGATTAATTTCTTCGCTAGAAGGCTATTACTTTTATTTATTTCAAAATTTTGCGTGAATTCTATGAAATTTGATATTTCGTCTAAAATTTTGCTGTATTATTTTTTATCCATGGGAACACGGATTTTAGTCAGTGTCATGACTGGCTGTACGTTTTGATTCCGCAAAATTCTTGCTACTGGAAATTCAGAACTTTTTTGAGGGTACCGGTAGCGTCAAAGGTACCGGTAAAGACTGATTCGCTCTGGTCTAACGTGTCCATATATTTGTGCGTATAGCTCTCTTGTCTTTTAAATGATGTCATGTGATATTATTGCTATATTTTGTATTTTGAACACTGAGGGCGCTATGACACTGTAGATCTGTCCTTTGGTGTCCTGTCAGCCTGTGCTGTGGTTTGCAGCAGTGCAGTTGTGGTTGTTTTAGTTGGATTTTCAGTGTTTTAGGTTCTTCTTGTGTTTGTTAAATTATTGTTAGTTCTTGAGAAGGGTACCCAGGGTGTTTATTTTTGATTTTATGATTTATGAAGGGTTTGAATATTCTAATATTGGTCAATGGGATGATTTTATTGTTTAAGTGTAGTGCAATTGCAGTTATTTTGCTATAGGTTGTACTACGGAATTGGTTATCGTCAGTGCTGTTCAAGTGTTGTGTATCTTTGTTATTTTCGTTGTACCCTTTCTGCTTTGTTGATTTTCATTGGAGTAGTTGGTTGTATTAAGCTGTTCAGATTGATAATTAATACATAGAATAAAATAGCATAACTTGAGGTGAATATTGAGAAGAAACTTGACGTCAGATCGTATTGGAAGATATTCTGATCTTGGATAATTATTTCATAGACACGCTACACATATATAATATTCTTCTTTTCGTTATGTTTGCGCAAAATTCCCATAGCTTCATTATACACGTAGGAAACACTTCATTTGATAAATATCTACACATAATCATGCAAATGGTCGTGATACGCCAAACGCCTGTTAAGCCTGACTCCAGCCTGAGTTCAGGTTGTGCGCCATCTTGGTGCGCATACCTCAGGAGGTCCGAATTTTGAATTGACATTTCCCAATACAATTAATTTTTAATATAACTTAAGCTAGAGTTGGTTATCTTGTTTTAAACCATTTTTCATACCAAAAGGTGATTGATATGTCACAGTGAGATCACTCACATCGTATCTCAAAGGAGCAAATGAGTTTTAAATTTTATGTTTCGTTTGATTCAGGTGCCACCTGCAGAGCTAGAGAGCGTTATATTAAAACATCCCAAAGTCGAGGATCTAGGAGTTATTGAAATTCGTGATACTTATACAGGTGAACTTTCAAAAGCATTTGTCGCCAAGCAGGTTGATGATCTAACTGTTAGATTCTAACAGAAACGACGTGGAAGATGAGAAAAAAAAATAAGGATGCCTTGAGTTCGCTGAGGTTTAGCTGAGTAAAATTATTATGAGACATTTTCAAACTATTCTACAGGAGTCACATAATTTGACATATGGGAACATTACAAATTTTTCATAATTATAAAGAACTATTCACCATCATTCAGTTGAACTGGTTGATTACAAACGACTAAGAGGTGGAATTGAGTTTGTTAAGAAGATTCCAGAATCAGCCACAGGGAAGATTCAACGTATTGAATTGAAAACGATTGCCGGAATTTAATGAAATAAACGTGGAATTGTTAAAGTTTTTTGATAATTTTTATTTAATGAAATTAGGATAATGAAAATTGAATCTGTTCATAAATTCCAAAATAATTTAATAAAACTCATGGCTATGGCATTCGAATTTAATTGATTTTGAAAACGGTGATTCGTGAGATAATATAGCGTGATAATCCTTGAAGTTGTGGGCACCCGCTTGTATACATTACAAGATACAACGTGTGCACATTTAAAACAATCCTCGACGTGGCAAATCAATCCTTACAGCGATCCAAAAATCCGACAAGAATGTTGTCACTTAAACAGCAGATCGGTGTGAGATTTATTTTCGTATAATCTGTATATGGATCCAAATACGTATTTTACGGACGATAAGGCGCATTGGATTATATGTTGCGCTGTCAATAATAGCTTTGATAGAGTTTTTGTTCATACATAAGGCGCACGCATACATCAGGCAATAAGAAGCATCGATTTTGTAAGAAGTTGAATACGGCGGTTGGTTTATGACACAATAGTACCGGTACTGGTTTTGAGGTAAGGCAATATAGCATAAGGCACTACCTTATCCATACATTCGGCGCACTGGCTAATAGACGCACTGTCTATTTTTGAGACTGTTAGTTCCATAATCCGGACAATGTATTATTCAGCAACACGTTAGAAAAAATTTAGCCCAGAGAAATCAAAATTGACGTAATATTATAAAATAGAATATAGATGATGTATGGCTAGTTTCCAGCAAAGTGACAGCAGACGCTCGTAGATGTGCACATTGAAAGCCGGATAAACATTTATCCGCCGGCGAAAACACGAATCAACATAGTCGTTTGAAAAAAAAGCAATCGGGCACACCACGTTTGGTTGGACTTTTCACATTTTCAGCGACAACCGCTATGATACGAAAATTTGTCATATTCGCAAAAATCACCTGCAGAAACGTTCAAAAATAAGTTCTCGTCGTTACACGTTAGGATTCTATGAGCTTGTCTGGCCTGGTATATTGGCTTGATTTTGTGATAAGATTCCTCGAGAAGGCAAACGAATAATCATTAGAAAGTAAAGTATATATACCCATATTGTTCCTTCGCACTTCTTTTAAATCTATCCAGTCGCTTATCCGTATTTGCAGATTTTCACCCCCACCTGACTATGCCATCCATAAATTACGTCACTACGACGTCACCATTACGTCATAGGTAGGCTTACCATACGTCCCGCTTTTCAGCGTTTTGTCCCGCCGTCCCGATAAGTCAGCGAAAAGTCCCTGTTACTGTTGTTGTTTCTGTTTAGCGCAGCGCTAGCCTAACTTAATGAAGGTGAATGCGTTCGTTTCCCGCTGATTCCCATTGGTGACAGGCGTTTCGCATGTAAAACCAATACTAATTATTCTAAATTCGAATTATTTGTACCGGTATCGTTAACGTCAATTTCTTCCTATTTTTCGAACTGAACCCGATATTTGGACAGAGAATATGCGCATGAAATTTCAAGTGCAGTTTCAAGTATTTTGTGGCGTCTACAGCTGCCGCAAAACCATGGCGGGATCTCCAAACCACGGCAACTAAGACCAAACCCACGGCGACTGACTTTTTAGCTGCCACAAACCAATAGCGAGCTGCCGTGGTTACGGCAGCAAATCGAATACCACCAATTTTACTGCCGTAACCACGGCAGGTCGGCTGTAATAGCAGGGCTGCCCCTAATCTGCTGATGGTGATAAATATTTGGTGAGTTGGAATGTTTTTCTTATGGATACAGTTTGGATGGATTTGGGGTTAGGGTTAGGGTTTAAGTAGATATAATTTCGCATGATAAACTAAAATATGGTACATGAATTTGTAAATATACCGGTAATAGCGCCATAAAACCATGGCAGGAGACGGCGTGGTACGTTCGTGGCAGGAGCTGCCATGAAGTGGTAAGAACTGCGCCTCTGAAATTTCGATAACAATATGGTCAATAAAGACAGCCGAGACAGCTTTAAATGTAGGCCTATGTAGTAAAATAGGAAAATGTGAAGTTACAAAATCACAGCTAAGGGGTCGTTGTCTTTAGAGGCGTCCCGATTTGAAGTCACAAAAATATGGTAACCCTAGTCATAGGGCTTGCTAAAGTATAATTACGATCGCCCGAAATGGCATCTGCGCCGCCGATAACAAACTCGCTTACGCCGGCGATCTCTCCCCTATCGTGATCGTTGTGACGAGAAAACGAGAGAAAAAGCTTGCTCGATTTCGGGTGGACGTAACAAGCTAAAATTACATATTATTAGCTACGTAAAATGTCAAGCCGCGGTTAACCGGTTAACGGTTAAAGTGTTTCCCTGAAATTCCCATCCCTATTCACAAGATATGTACATTTCGAACTGATTCTTTCGAAAGTTCTATATAAATTGCATAGAAATAAAATGTCCGTCTACAATTTCTTAATTGAGTAACTAAGTTAAGTAACTGAGTTTTATTTGATATTATTCAATATATTAAACTTGAATATTCTATTTTAAATTTTTGAACTAGTTGCATGAATTCTCATAGCCCTAACAAGTGTAGTGGATATGCCGTTCAGAAGTCTTTTTCCCGATATTCAATTACCAGACAAATCATTTTCGGACGTTATGTTTGACGCTATGAAGCAGCATGGAGAGAAGATTGCATTAGTGAGTGAATATATTTCTGGTGAAAAGGCTGATCTGAACGCCTTTTATGGCGCCAGTGCATTAGGTTAATCGAACTTCGTCCCTAATGAAAATACAGTGGCTAAAAGCATAATTTATAGATATGTGATAGACATATGTATTTAGGAGCAAACAGCTTTATCAGTTATAATAGTCGATGGTCAGGAATACTTCATGAAGTGACTCAATATGAAAATGTAAAAATGCGTTGGCCATCTCTCTCACATGATGTCATACTTGAAAAGGGTACATGTCGCACGATTGCGTTTCGTCTTGTACATATATCCCTTCTCTCTTATACTGTTTAATTATTCTACAAATGCTGTTGAATTTCCGATACAAATATACATACATACAAATTGTTGTAACAACCATGTTGATCTCCACTGTAACTCTTGCACAGCGCAAATACCCTCGTTTGACCGCATAAACACGATATGTGTTCGTAGGTCATTCCAAACCTCCACTATTCCTACTAATCTTCAACTACTATAGACTTATCTCGATTATCAATATATATATATATATACGATGTGCAGACACTGGTAGCCACATAATTCAAAACATACCAATACTTTAACTTTAGGTTGATAATTCAATCGGTGGGAAGTCACTGACATTCAAGCAAGTCTATGACCAATCAAGAAATTGTGCTGGGTATTTATACAAAACGGGACTTGGAAAGGGAGACGTGGTCGGTCTTTGTTCTTCTACGTGCCTTGAATTCCCAGTGGCAATGTTAGGGATAATTGCTGCTGGTGGAGTTGTTGCACCTTGCATTCCAGCATATAGAGTTGGTAAGTATTCGCGACTATGAATAATGAGAATACATTGAAAATATCATCACCTTTAATATGGAAACAAGAACTATAGAAACAAATCTGAACTTTTAGCAATGCACTCCCATGCACATGATGATTATCAAATTTGTTTCAAAGACTAATTAAAGTTGCAAAAAAAAGGTTTTGCTATCGACGTTCATCACAAGAATATTTTTTACAGGGGAAATATTGCAACAATTTCAAATTTTAAAACCCAAGATGGTTATAGTACACGAGGAATGCATAGATACGATGAAGAAAGTTCAGCAACAAACAGAGTCTTTGAAGGTAACATTTTCTTCTGATGTTTAACATAATTTTATCTACGAAATTTGTTCGATGGCACTTATGTCAAACTTTTTTTCCAATACCTTTAACCATTTGGAATTTATTTCCACTCTGTTTCTCTGATTGTATTTACTTCAAATATCTCGTCATACGGAATGAAAGTGCGCGCAATGCAACAATGTACTTACCCAAACACAGTCTATTACTTTCTGTTTCATTCATATCAAAATTGCTGCCGGTCTGCCGAGGTGGAAAGATTGGGAACCACTGCTGTAGAGTGTAGACTCTGTAGAGTATCAGTAGATTTTAGAATTTCAGTAGTCACCCGCGACTTTGCTTACAGGTGAGGTGTCCGTAACCTCTGAACCTGTAACCTGGTAACAAACCTTATTTTTCAAAAAAATCTGTTCCAAAAAAAATTATGTCTAACCTAAATAAAGTAACAATATTCCATAATTCACAAATCAAACATTTTCCAGAAAATATTTGTCATTGGTAAAAGCGATGAATTCACTACCTTAATGGAGATGATTGATGACAAAAACAATAAAGGTTAGTTTAACAATTTACTATCGCAAGTAGATGCATTAATGCCGTACCTGATTTTGAAATCTTCGTGGTGATCGGTACCCAGGATTATTATATATGGTAGCGAAGAAAGAGTATTATATGTATACAACTATTTGTTTATAAAAACCTGGTGAAGATTATTACTGATGCCTAGTTTCAAGCATCAGTTGTCCTGTAACGAAGTTGCTATAGTCCCAATATTCCACAATATTACATCGATCTGTGGTTTAAGCTTTTTGTTTCATTCATGCTTTAGATTTCCCTGATAACATTGCCATCAATGGTGTCGAAGACCTAGCATTATTGCCATATTCTAGTGGAACAACTGGACTGCCAAAAAGTGTTATGACAACACACAGAAACCTAATATTCGTGGCAATGATATTTGGGTGAGCATGTATTCATTCTTTATCTTTACGTAAATAAAGGCGTGACCAAGATAGCAAAACACTAAAAATATCTCCTTGAGAAACTACATCACCTTCTTTTTCAGCAACACACAAACTCCTGTATCTGTCACAAACTTTTATTGTTTGATATTTAGAGGAATAATATACGTAGTTTGAATTTGAGCATAAACATAATACATAATGTCGTTGAATCAAAATTTTACGAGATTTGTTCTAGCATCTTATCAACTTGTATGGCATATAAAGTATCAAAAGACAGAAATAGCAAAATCACGTCAAATTTCAAAGTACTAGTCTGACTGAACAGCAGCATTAAATAGGTGAAATTTTGAAAAATTTGGAGTCCTCAATTTTTTTCGTATTATCACACGGTCGGAATGGCTTCGTTTTTGGAGCGAAGAAAACATTTAATTTGTGGCACTAAGTGAATCGTTAAATAGGTTTAATTAATTGCGTATGCCATACGGGATAAATTGATGACCAATTTATTGACACAGAATGTTTCAAATAAATTTATTTTTAAAATGATGTCATTAGTTCTAATCATTTTTTTTTCTAGTACGTGCATCATGCCTGAAACGACTGACTGTATGTACACGGATCGTCCGATGTATCACGCGGGTGGATTCAGCTGTTTTATATTAACTTTGTTTGGCGGAAACAAGCTTATCTTAGAGAAAGAGTTCGCAGTTGAAACTATGTTAAAATCAATAGAAAAATATAAGGTAATGCTAATACATTGATGCCTCTATTAATTAATTCATCTATCATTAGAATTTCATCCGATATTTAAAAAAGCCTAATGCAAGTTTCAAATACAATCAAATGCAATCTTTTATCCGATTGAATCATTTCAATGCAATGTCCAAAAATGGATATATATATATATATATAAGATATTTATCATTACTTTGAATCAATGAGCCAGTTTTATTTAAGGATTATCGGCCATCATTCCATCCCGAAATTGATTTCTATTTATGAATTTTACCCATATATAAATATACTTACAGATAACCCATATTCTGACTGTTCCGCCTGACTTGATTTTCCTAGCTAACGATAAAAGAGTTGAAAATTATGATTGTTCTTCTGTTAAAGAAGTAGCGTGCAGTGGAACACCTCTTGCCCCAGATATATTGCGAAAAATAGAGAAAGGATTTGGGGCTTTCATTAGACCAGGTAAATGATCACTCTTCAGTTGTAATTAAAACCTGGTGATATAGGTGAGCTATATACGATTAACCTGTAAAGCATTCACTTGACATTTGTAAAGTAGACCCCGGATAAAACTACAAGCTCATAAGTAAAAACTTATTAAACGTACGACCTCAACTGGCGTAGACAGATTTCCTAGCCTTAAACAGCAAAAACCTACTTTAATATTCCATTTTGAAGCTTATGCCATGACAGAATGTCTCGTAATCGCAATTCATCGTGGCAAAGAGAGTTTATTTGAAGGCGTTGGAAAAGTTTGCCGCAACACAGAAGTCAAGGTTGGTTTCAATTAATTTAACAATAGTATTCATAAACAGTGCACAAATCATCACAGCGTGAATGATTACCATTCCATATTTTCAGCATAACCACACTTTTGCATTTTCATGCGAAGCCTAATTGCAATAAATCAACCACCATAAATGAAGATTAAAATTATGTTAAGCCTCACTGTGATGCACTAGTAAAAGAGAAGACTCCAGTTATACCCTTGTTGAAAAACCTTTATTGCAAAGGTTGTATCATTGACGTATCTGATTACATCCCAAATAAGTTGTCTTTCGAGTTTCGATAGTCTTTTATAAATAACAAAAACGATGATGGGACAGGAATCGGTTTATATGGAACTCAAAATCAAATAGGGCATGCTTGGGGGGTTGGGGGAATTGATGTTGGCATCAGAAAAAATTAATTCAATCTAAGCGGAAATACAATAACATCGAGTTTTGAATAAAGACCGTGGATTTATACAAATGAACAAATTTTTATCAGTAAATAACGTCAAAATTGGATTGCAGTTGATGAATTAGAGATTTATAAATTTTGACTAAAATCCAAGAAGAAGAAGAAATGTAATCAGTTGACAGTCATACTCAATTACTAATTTTATTTTCCTCCCAGATAATAGATTTGCAGTCTGGCAAAGAACTTCAGAAATATCAGACTGGGGAAATTATAGTCAAGGGACCTGCGGTACTATTAAGTATCCTTGTATAATTTAAGTAGGCTACAATATGTATGTACCTGAGTATTGTGTAATAATATACTAAGAAGTGATTATTTAAAAAACAGTAGCTTGTACATCTCAAAATCATGAATCCTTTGACATGTAGTCCTAAACTGCAACACAATTCACAATATATGACATATAACTCTTTGAAGGTCATGAAAGGATACATGGGAAACCCGGTTGCTACAGCACAGACTATTACAAAAGACGGATGGATTCACACGGGTGATATCGGATATTTCGATAACGATGAAATATTGTATATAATTGATCGCCTAAAGGAAATCATCAAATACGAAGGCGTTCAAGTAAGAATAATAATTAATGCAATAGTGTAACGAAGCAAAAATTTAAAAAGTAGTAATTTTCCGGGAGGCAATGTATCCTACCTACGAGTCTGGCGCAATAAACATCGAACTTGTTCTCCGTTATTTTTTTCTGAATAGCGCCAATCACATTGCAACCATCTGTAAATAATAGGAACTCTACGTAGTTCACAATTAGAAATATACATTTATTGTATATACGCAGTACGGTGATAGGCGTCTAGAACGAACTTGAAGTTCATAAGCAATTATCCAGCTCTATATCAAACTGAAGTGATTTGGGCTGTCACAATATAATTAGCAATGACAACTTTTTGTTCAATATAGGTGTCACCAGCGGAATTGGAAAGTGTTATATTAAAACACCCGAAGGTAGCTGATGTTGGAGTTATTGGAATTCCTGATTCTCATGCGGGTGAACTTCCAAAAGCATTTGTCGTGAAGAAGGTGGATGATTTAACCGCAGACGAAGTAGACGCTTTCGTAAAAGGTAACTTAAGAATGCCATAGATGATGTCTAAACACTGAATAAATATGGACGTCAAGTATGTCAAATGAAATCTTAATGGCATACAAGTAAACGTTTTGCAAAATATGATTTATTTGGGAAATCAGCGAAAGTCCCGTTCACGTGAAAATTGATTATAAGAGGATGTGAAGTATGCCAAACATTTGCATACTATTTAGCATTTCGTTTAAACGAAATCGACTAAAACAGGGTTATTGTCGAAATGAGAATTCTCTTTTGTTCTCAAAATTTTGATATATATATATATATGTATATTGTTTGACCACGCCTACAAAAAAACTACTCTAGTTATCAAATTCCAGAGCGTAACAACATTTCCAGCCATTTATTATTATCAATATTAATACGAGAATATCGGTCAGGGACCGAAGACTTATCGATCGGAAGTCAGGGGATCCCCAAAACAGCGCTCTTACTCCATAGTGACACCTTGTGTCCCATCACTAATTAATTAATAACTCGCTAATCATACTACATAATTTATCCAAAAACCAATAGGCTTCTGGTACGACATATGATGAATGCACATGCAAAATCTGGAGCAGATCCAATCTTGCCTTCGTGAGATATCGCGTGCATCTAACAGAAAAACAAACAGACAGACAAATACCTATTAACATAGTTACCGATAAAAATCGATGAGTAATAGGACTCAGTGGATATGTGATCAGTAGATAATGCTTTTAGTACACGATTTAATTGACTAATATCGATATTTTACTACCAGATGAACTTGTTGATCACAAACAACTGAGAGGTGGAATTGAATTTGTTGAGAAGATCCCAAAATCATCAACGGGGAAGATTCAACGCAATGAACTAAAAAAAATGGCCGGTTTTAAGAAAAACGACCCAATTCTTAAATATCCTAGAATTACTGCTGCACTGAAAAATCTAACGTTCAGTTAATTAAACTTTGAAACCACCTAATCAATATCTTCAAATCTAAACAAATGTTTGCGAACTCGAGACTTTAAGAGCATGTGGCTTTATAATAAAAATATCTCAGGAATAGACATTACAAATGTTCAGCCGTTTCTCCATCTTTTAATTTAATGAGCATCCTTTTTAAGCTCGTTTCATTTTTGAAGTAGCACGAAAGAAAGAAGCAAAAAGGTCTTAGCAAATGTTAGTTTTCAGTTCAAACGATCGTGGATCACTTCCCGAATGATGCGAATCGTCGTCTCACAACAAATTCGACGTACCTAAATCACCTTACTCGCGAAACACCATTATATATAATAACTGCTTGCAATGGGAAATGAATACATTAAAATTCACAGCATTAAAAACTTCAGACCACCGTATTGAAAAATGTAGAGTTAAGAATTAGCAATTTTGACTAATATAATTTCAGCAACAATAAAATTACAATTTTTTACTGCTATGCGTTAAAATTTTAAAATAGCTTCGAGCAAACAAGCAAACTGGTTTCGGGGAATTTTTATTTCACTGTTTCTCGAACAATGTCAAGACATCATCGACAGAATGCAGTAATCAGAAAATTATAGTTTATGGGGGAAAGTAATACTCATAAATCCACTTTACTAAGCTTAACTATATAACATAATTTCTGCGTCTTATAATTCCTTAAGTTAGACATAAAAAAATAAACAAGCTGCATGACTACATCTTCTCTTAGGCGACATTGTTTAAACAATTTAAATTTATTTTGCTATATTTGCGGTGAATATACATTGCAATCCAACAGAAAAGGGATCGGTAAATTTGTGAAGTGTGCTTATCTTGCCTACTTCAATATAATGCTGGGTGATCAAGATAAGGTATGGGCACCCCATATTGTATGCAAGCAATGTGTTGAGCATCTTCCACAGTGGACAAAAAAGGATAGAAAGTCACTCCACTTTGGTATTCCAATGGTCTCGAAAATTTATTTTGATGACTGCTACTTCTGTGCAGTAAACACAAAGGGAATCAATAGGAAGAACGGGAGATCGTTAGTTTATCCAAACTTTGAGTCTGCAATTATCCAAACTCCGAGTCTGCAATTAGGCCAATTCCACAATGAAATGAAATTCCTTTTCCAGTGTTTGAAAGCTTGCCCGAATCGGAATTGCTTGGCTCTGAAGAAGACCAAACCTCCGTTTCGTCCACTGATAGTAGTGAATGCGCTGTTTCAGATGTCGGTTTTTCTTCTTCTTCTTCACTGCCATAGTCTTTTTCTCATGGATAACTTAATGAACTGACTAGAGATTTCAACTTTTTCAAAGAATCTCCTGAATTTCTAGCTCCAAGACTCTCATAACCTTCTATGGAAAACGCCTTATTGAATTCTTGTCGTATTTCACTCAGGAAAATGACATAGTATATCGCAACGACGTTGTCGGCTTGCTGCGGCAGCTTGGTGTCCAACACTGAAGCCAACACTGAAAATTATGTTTCCTCCACATAAAGCTTGGCAGTTGGTGAATGCTTTTGATAAAGATGGCGACTGTTTTAAATATATTTGCGGGAAATTTCCAGGTCTGATGTGAATGATGGGGCAAAGGGAGCCCTTCCATCAAGATATAAGCGGCATGGAAGTTTGCTATCAAGGTCGTTGTGATGCCACCATGCTTGCAGACAACTGCTGGTCTATCAAGCACGATGATGCCGGGGCCTCCCATTTCAGAAAACTAGTAAAACATCAATTTATAGCTGATGACATCTATTAGTTAGCATTTATTACAACTTCCAGCTTTAATTGTGAATATTTTGGTGAGATTCCATAAAATAAAATTATTCTGTTCAATAAAATTACAGAAAAATGTTGTTTCTTCAATTTGCCTATCTTTATTGTAGCTATCGGCATCCTGCAGAGAGGGATATACCGTAGAAGAAAAACTAGCCCTGATAAAGAAAAAGTAACAGCATTTCTGGGAATCAGCGCCCTCAAATTTGCTGAAAACGGTTAAAACATCTTAGACACCATAAAAAAAATTTGTTTGTCGGCCAGTGTAATTAATGTTCAATTTTACATTATATTACCATTGAGCGAATTGTATTGCAATTTTAATATTTTCTCAATAGACTTACTTACCAACGCAATTTTATCTCCATGATCTTTAATTTGTTGAAAAAAATTCTGATAATGATTTTTCTGAAAGTTGTACATCTGGTGATCGACTTCTGAAGGGCATAATGAACCTTATTTACAGTTACAGTTTTTTTTAACAAAAACTCTGTCAACGTTAGATCGTGTACCCCGGTAATAATTAGCTAATTAGGATCTACATATATTCAATTTCTGTCCATCAAATTGTCCAGGATTAAAAAAAAAGTAGTTTGAAAAAAACGACAAGCATTTTTGAAAGAAACTATAGTTTTAATACGCCTATGTGCGATCTCGTTTTTTTCTTTCCCCCAATGGTCGAGGTGAATTCCCCAATTTTTTTCATAGAAGCCATATTTTTTCAACGCAATACTGACATATGACTATTTTCTGTAGTGTGTTATTGATAAAACGTGTTTTTCATTGTGTGTGGACGCTCAGTAATCTATCTGAGAGATGTATTGTACGTTTTCAGTAATTCATTTGTTGAGAGGACCAATCACAATAAAAAAAAGTCGCTTACAATTATATTTTCAAAGTATTCGAGATTCAATTCAAAAAAAAAATATTCGATTTCATTCTGAAATCATAAAGTATTCGAAAATGCCCAACCTTACTTATAGCCCGATGCGCCTCATGTATATATATATATATATGAATAAAATCCCGATCTGAGCAATTTAATGACAGTGAGACTTATAATTAAGTGCGCTGGTGTACAATACGGCTAATGGATCCGGATATTACCAGAATAAATCTGGAACTCTAGTGATAGTTCTTAGTTATATCCAAGTTGTCACGAACATACCGTTAACCAAACTGACTTTAACCGTTATGGATCCAGACTAAAAGCGGGCGCTCACAACTTCAAGGATTCTTACCCCATGGCTCGATCGCTGTTTGTCTTCCGAAGACTCCGTTCTTCCAATACATCGGACTCGCCCACTTTACGCTTTACTTTTGACCGTTTTTACATTTTCATACTTTAAACTATCACCGATACAGACCTTTTCGTTTATTGCAATTTTCAAAACAACATTTTGCGAAGCGCCATTGCCACCATATAACTATTTTCAATATTATATCCGATCCAGGATATAGCACTGATGAAGAAAGATTACCTTGTGACAAAATTTTTTAAAAGTCTCTGTAACAGTCATCAGAAAATTATAATATATGGGGAAAAGTAATGCCCATAAATCTACTTTACTAAGCTTTAGTATATAACATAATTTCTGCCAAATTGTCAAATTCACATCTCTATTTACTGATAATCTATTATGGTTTTTTCTTAGTTTCGATCCGTGTTTTGTCTCTTGGTGAACAAAAATGAAACAAATTATGGTACTCCCGTAGTATGTGAACCAAGACGGCGGACACCGAAACGTAGTAGCCTATGTGTATTGTGTACCAGTTAGAGTTAGGCCAAATTTCCAGGTACAAATACTACGGGAGTCACTTGGCTAGTCCCCGAACTCGTAACTAAAATAAGTTGCGTGGGCGGTTAATATGCGCGGTCTGGCGGTAGAAGTAAACCATACGCTGTTTAGCCATAGGACCCTTCCCCGAGCATCGACTTCCTTGTTCACTTTGTGACATTGGCCAATCAGCAAGATGCAAAAAGACACTTTTCTCATTAGACGGTAGTATATATTTACGATTAGACAGAGTTTTTAAGCGTGGTCGTAAACATTACCACGTTTTCGCGTTTTTCGTCAGTTTTCTGTTGTGTTTCAGAAAATTAAATATAAATCAGATATTTCAATGATCACTCTTTCTTCCTAGGAGTTTTAATTTAATTGCAGTAATGAAAAATTAGTGTAGAAATAGCTGTGATAAACTAGGCTAAAATTCCTTACCGGTACTTTTAAAAAACAGATTGTTGTATGCGATGAATCATAATGATGGTTCAAAACATACCGTATACCCCTTTTTACAGGCGCAACTCGCAAAAGCACTCTCAGAATAGCCCCGAAAATTTTGCAATGGGTTGCTTGTCTTTGTTGAAGAACGTCGTGATGAATTGTATCTCTTTTCATTACCCATGGGTTCACAGGAATCGTCAATCTTCAGATGCCAGTAAAGACAGGGCTCCACAAGCCGTATTGGAATATCGTAAGCACCTTGGTTACTTATTAAGATCAGGTGTATCTCAATTCTTTTCTCGAGAAATGTAAAGATCATAACTCATTTGAGCAACAAACTACCGTCAACATAATGAGATTGTAGCCTACTACAGTTAGGCCTATCATCAGCTATGTATGGAGATGAACCTTTACCGGAAATAAATAGCCGCATACTGAAGCTACACAGTCAGTCTGCTTATCGTACAGATAATTAATTTTTCAAAACAGATTATTTATTATTTTCCAAAAATATCAAGATACAGATTGCTAGGCAACAATATATATAATACGAATTCTTGTTGACTTTGCTTATCGCTTGTAAACCTAATTTGGTTGGCTATTTCGCTGTAGTCTGTCCTCCTGGGAATAATTGTCTGTTACAGTGAAAAAAACATTTCCCAAAACCAGTTTGCTTGTTTGCTCGGAGCATTTTAAAATTAAAACGCATAGCAGTATAAAATTGTAATTTTATTATTGTTGAAATTATATTAGTCAAAATTGCTAATTCTTAATTCTACATTATTCACTACGGTGGTCTGAGAATTTGAATGCTGTGAATTTTAATGTATTCATTTCCCATTGCAAGCAGTTATTTTATGTAATGGTGTTTCGCGAGTAAGGTGATTTAGGTACGTCGAATTTGTTGTGAGACGACGATTCGCATCATTCGACAAGTGATCCACGATCGTTTGAATAGAAAATTAACATTTGGTAACACCTCTTTCTTTCGTGCAACTTCAAAAACGAACTTAAAAATGATGCTTATTCAATTGAAAGATGGAGAAACGGCTGAACATTTGTAATGTCTATTCCTGAGATATTTTCACTAAAAAGCTCTCTTAAAGTCTCTAGTTCGCAAACATTTGTTTAGATTTGAAGATTTTGTTTAGGTGGTTCCAAAGTTCAATTAACTGGACGATAGATTTTTTAGTGCAGTAATGCTGGGATATTTATTAATTTGGTCGTTTTTCTTTTTATCTAAAACCGGCCATTTTTTTCAGTTCATTGCGTTGAATCTTCCCCGTTGATGATTTTGGGATCTTCTCGACAAATTCAATTCCACCTCTCAGTTGTTTGTAATCAACAAGTTCATCTGGTAGTAAAACATCAATATTAGTGGGTTACATCGTGTACTAAAAGGATTATCTATTGCTCACATATCCACCGAGTCTTATATTAATATTGACAATAATAAATGGTTGGAAATGTTGTTACGCTCTGGATTTTGATAATTTTTTTTTTTTTGTAGGTGTGGTCAAACAATGGCCATATATGTATGGATATATATATATGTCGAAATTTTGAGACTAAAAAAGAATTATTATTTCGACAATAATCCTGTTCTGGTCGATTTAATTTAAACGAAATGCTAAATTGTATCCAAATGTTTGGCATACTTTACATCCTCTTATAATTAATTTTCACGTGAACGGGACGTGAAAATACCAAACAAATCATATTTTGCAAAACGTCTACGTGTATGCCATTAAGATATCTTTCGACATACCTGACGTCCATATTTTTAACCCTCCATTATCCATGGCATATTTAATTTACCTTTTACGAAAGCGTCTAACTCGTCTGCGGTTAAATCATCAACCTTCTTCACGACAAAAGCTTTTGGAAGTTCACCCGCATGAGAATCAGGAATTCCAATGACTCCAACATCAGCTACTTTCGGGTGTTTTAATATAACACTTTCCAATTCCGCTGGTGACACCTATATTAAACAAAAGTTGTCATTGCAGAAAATTGCAATTATTAAATTTTTGCTCCTTCACACTATTGAGTTAATTATTTATTTTTCTTACTTGCACGCCCTTGTATTTGATGACTTCCTTCAAGCGATCAATTATATATAACATTTCATCGTTATCAAAATATCCGATATCACCTGTGTGAATCCATCCATCTTGCATAATAGTTTGTGCTGTAGCATCTGGGTTTCCCATGTATCCTTTCATGACCTTCATGAAGTTAGTTATATGTCACATATTGTTAATTATGTTGCAGTTTAAGACCGAATGTCACGTGTACAAGCTAACTTATCACTTCTTAATATATTATTACACAATACCTATGCACATACATACTGTACTTCAATTATACAAAGATACTATTGGTACCTGAGGTCCCTTGACTATAATTTCGCCAATCTGATTTTTCTGAAGTCCTTTGCCAGACTGCAAATTAATTATCTAGGAAGAAAATAAAATTAGTGACTGAGTATGACTGTCAAATGATTACATTTCTCTCTCTCTCTGGAGAAATCGGACTTGAATCAAAATCTTTAATTTATTAACTAATTCCTATTTGACGTTGGTTACTGATAAAAAGTTGTTTATCAGTAGATGTCCATGGCCCTTACCCCAAACTCAGTGTTATCGTATTTCAATCAATCAATCATTTTTTTTTAATGTAAACAGACAAACAAAATGCAGAGATACCTGGGAGGCGAGCATTACTTAAAATGAAGTTAAAAAGCGTACATAAAGTACGTGCCAACCCGTCAAAAATAAGAAATAAATAATAAAACAAACACACAAAATAGTGAACGCGATTCAGAATCGGGCGATACTTTTAACGTAAATAAAAAACAGCATAATTTAGGTAGAAAATTAAATGTAATAAACTTCCAACAACTTCTCCGGTCTCTGATTGATGAAAATTTAACAAACACACGTTCGTGTCCAACTATGGTTTATTGAGGAATCACCAGAATTAGCCCCACAGCTCACATATATAAATGAAGCTGATTTTGCATGCTTCAAATTCTGGGTCTTGAATTCTAGGTTGTGTATAGCACAGGTCCAACTAAGTAAAAAGCTATAGGACAGGTCGTTCGCTTCAATTAAAAAAAAATTTACTAACAATTTAACAAATGTACAAGACGAACAAAAAAATATGCATGGTTGAAACTTGAAATGCAGCATGAAGTTTTGAATATTGGAAACATTAAAGTGTAACATTGCAAAATCAGTACCTCCGCCTCGATTTAATCATTTTTTTCTAATGGCAAAATCAATCCTCTTTACGCCTGCCCTATCTGATTTGGAGTTCATAGAGCCCAATTCATGTCCCATCATCGTTTTTGGTATTTATAAAAGACCATTGAATGACAACTTATTCGAGACGTACTCAGATACGTCAATTGTACAACCTCTGTGATAAATCTCTTTGAAAAAGGGTATAACTCGAGTTTTCCCTTTTATTGGTGCACCGCAGTGATGCTTGCGCAATTTTATCAATAATCTCCATTCTTGTGGTTGAAAGATTGCAACTAAGCTTTACGCAAAATCCCATAAAAATACAAAAGCGGTGTTACGCTGAAAATCTGGAATGGTAATCATTCACGTTTTGATGATTTGCGCACTGTTTATGAATACTATTGTTAAGTTAATTGGAACCAACCTTGACTTCTGTGTTGCGGCAAACTTTTCCAACGCCTTCAAATAAACTCTCTTTTCCATGATGGATTGCGATTCCGAGACATTCTGTCATTCCATAAGCTTTAAAATGGAATATTTAAAGTAGGTTTTTGCAGTTTAATGCTGGGAAATCTGTCTACGCCGGTTGAGTTCGTACGTTTTAAGTTTAACTTATCTTTTGGGCTTGTACTTTTATCTGAGGATTACAAAGTCAAGTGAATGCTATACAGTTTAATCGTATATAGCTTACCTATATCACCAGATTTTAATTACAACTAAAGAGTGATCATTTACCTGGTCTAATGAAAGCCCCAAATCTTTTCTCTATTTTCCGCAGTATATCTGGGGCAAGAGCTGCTCCACCACACGCTACTTCTTTAACAGAAGAAACATCATAATTTTCAACTCTTTTATCGTTAGCTAGGCAAATCAAGATAGGCGGAACCGTTAGAATATGGCTTATCTGTAGAAGAAACGAGTATATATATATTTCTATGAGAAAAATTCATTAACCGCTTGAACCCGGCAAGCCGGTTTACCGGCTTGTTTGAGTACGCTCTGTGCCCCGGCAAGCCGGTTTACCGGCTTGTTTTTCGTGTCGGAGGGAATCAACTTCATGATCTCGTATCTCAAGAACCACAATGAGTATTTAAATAAATTTTATATTGCATGAAAGCTTGTTATTGGGACTAATTATATTGTGATGATCGGTGCTCTAATATACGATGTTTCAGTAAAATTGGCAATTTGAAAGTGCGTATGAAATTATTGTATGATAACAAATATTTAATATAAAGAATTTCGACTTCTTGCCTAAATAGCTACATATTCAATCGGCAATATATGTGGAGAATTTGAATAGCTTTTTATATACTTATCCAAAACAATTTTACGATGAGCCATTCAAATTTTATGACCAAATATATTAGATTATCTGTAGATTTAACAGCGACGCTGCGTCAAATTGATGTTCTAATTGAAGAGAGGCAACGTCTCGTCACGCACAACTTTACGCATATTACGCAAATGCAACTAAACGTGACGATATCCGCAATAACGTTACGTCGAGATGTTATTATTTAAATGTCCGCAGGAAGTAATTAATTAACCCGATGCTACGCATTCAAAATTCGCACTACGCTCTGACTTTGACTGCCCGCTCAAGCCCCATTAAGTTGTGGTTACGTATACGCAATATGAACAAGATTGTGATTTTATTAGCGGATAACGGAACAATAAAGACCATGAAAAATGTATGTACATAAAAGACTGCTTGCTAAAAATTTTAAATTGAATATTGCACTTTGTTGTGCCCGGAACAATGAAGAACATGAAAATATTAGGCAGACTAAATCCAATATTGCACTTTGTTGTGCCAGTTATACCAATGGTTGTTGGTTTCGTTACCGTAAAATCAGATATTTTGATCTGCAGAGCAGGCAAGTACTTATTTTGGTTGATATTTGAACAAATACTCATGGGCGAATAAAACATTTTCCACGTGAAATTTTATATGACGATATTAACTTCACTTCGCTATTACTGCACGCATTACTCGACGTCGGTACTTCAATCCATACAGGGTTAATGTCATATCGAAACTCGGCGACCGATGTCCCGCTGAGAACGTCGTCGTGAAAGTTATCTTGCGCATTTTGCCACGCAATACGTTTCGAACGTACTTATCAACTTCTTCAAGACGGTAGTCACGTGATCGGCTTTTGCGTAGCTGCGTAATCAGTGCGTCATGGCCGCTTATCGATGTTGTTCACACGACACAATGTTACACAATTAAATATTTAAATATAAAATTGGTTATATGGCAGCCACAATAGTAATTCGAATATCAACAAAAAGCTTATAAAAAACTCTTTATGAACATCAAATATTGGCAGTATATTTTGTACCAAACTAACAAAATTTCAAGCCAAAACTCACATACATGCAGAAAAATGACTGTTAGATTAGGGTCAATTTTATTAATTTTGACAAAATGTATTTCAAAATGGAAAATACATACTGAATGCACGATAAAATTTCCTTTCGATTGAAATGTCTCACAACGTGCTACCTATAATTGGTAAAAAGTTACAAGCGTGCCAAATAGCCAGTATTTAGACTTATTTTATTGTTCTACCAATACGGCGCCGCGAACCTTCAGGGTGAGCGAGTAACTTCGCTCAGAGCCGTCAGAGTTCAAAGAGTTAATATAAATCAGTTTCAGTTTCGGAATGAAAGATGCCGGATAAACCTTAACTCAAACTGGATCATTGATTCAGAGTAATAGTAAATATCTTATTAACATACATTTTTGTTCATTGCGTTGAAATGATTCAATCGGATGATAGATCGCCGGTCGAGTTGAGAACTTGCATATTGGAATATTTTATATATAGGATGAAATTCAAAGTCTAGATCAGGTAATTGATAAAGTATTATATTAGCATTACCTTATATTTTTCTATTGCTTTTAGCATAGTTTCAACTTCAAACTCTTTTTCTAAGATTAGCTTGTTTCCGCAAAACAAAGTTAATATAAAACAGCTGAATCCACCCGCGTGATACATCGGACGATCCGTGTACATACAGTCAGTCGTTTCAGACACCATTGACGTACTAGAAAAAATTATTAGAACTAATGACATAATTTCAAATTCAAAAATAAATTTATTTGAAACGTTTTGTGTCAGTAAATTGGTTATCAATGTATTCCGCATGGCGTAGGATATAAATTAAACTCATTTAACGATTCACTGAGTGCCACAAATTGAACGTTTTATTCGCTCCGAAAACGGGGCCATTCCGACTGTGTGATAATACGAAAATAAAATCACTCATTGAACAAGGGAAGTTTCCACTAAATTTTTCAAAATGTCGCTCATTTAATGCTGCTGTTCAGCCAGACTAGTACTTTGAAGTTTGGCGTGCTATTTTGCTATTTCTGTCCGGTGATACTTTATACGCCATACAATATGATAAAATGCTAGTAAAAATCTCGTAAACTGTTGGTTCCTAAAATTCAACGGAATTATGTGTTATGTTTTATGTTGAAATTCAAATTACGTATAATATTTTTTTAAAAACCAAACAATAAGAGTTTATGACAAATTCAGGAATTTGAGTGTTGATGAAAAAGAAGGTGTTGTAGTTTCTCAAAGAAATATTTTTATTGTTTTGCTATCTTGGCCACGCCTTCATTTTCGTAAAGAAGGAATGAATACATGCTCACCCGAATATCATTGCCACGGATATTAAGTTTCTGTGAGTTAACATAACACTTTTTGGCAGTCCAGTTGTTCCACTGGAATATGGCAATAATGCTAGATCTTCGACACCATTGATGGCAATGTTATCAGGGAAATCTAAAGCATGAATGAAACAAAAAGCTTAAACCACAGATCGATGTAATATTGTGGAATATTAGGACTATAGCAACCTCGTTACAGGACAATTGATGCTTGAAACTAGGCACCAGTATTAATATTCACCAGGTTTTCATAAACAAATAGTTGTATACATATAATACTATTACTTCGCTACCATATATAATAATCCTGGGTACCGATCATCACGGAGATTTCAAAATCAGGTACGGCATTAATGCATCTACTTGCGATAGTAAATTATTAAACTAACCTTTATTGTTTTTGTCATCAATCATCTCCATTAAGGTAGTGAATTCATCGCTTTTACCAATGACAAATATTTTCTGGAAAATGTTTGTTTGTGAATTGTGGAACATTGTACATTGTTACTTTATTCAGGTTAGATATAAATTTTTTTTGAAACAGAATTTTTTGAAAAATAAGGTTTGTGTTAGACTGTGTTTGGGTAAGTACATTGTTGCATTGCGCGCACTTTCATTCCGTATGGCGAGATAATTGAAGTAAATACAATCAGAGAAACAGAGTAGAAATAAATTTCAAATGGTTAAAGTTATTGGAAAAGGTGTTTGACATAAAATTCCATCGACCAAATTTTGTAGATAAAATTATGTTAAACATCAGAAGGAAATGTTACTTGCAAAGACTCTGTTTGTTGCTGAACTTTCTTCATCGTATCTATGCATTCCTCGTGTACCATAACCATCTTGGGTTTTGAAATTTGAAATTGTTGCAATATCTCCCCTGTAAAAAATACCTTTTTGCTTCAACTTTAATTAATCTTTGAAACAAATTTGATCACCATCATGTGCATGGAAGTACATCGCTATAAGTTCAGATTTGTTTCTAGCTCTCATTTCCATATTCGGGTGACGATATTTTCAATGTATCCTCAAATACTTACCAACTCTATATGCTGGATTGCAAGGTGCAACAACTCCACCAGCAGCAATTATCCCTAACATTGCCACTGGGAATTCAAGGCAGGTAGGAGAACAAAGACCGACCACGTCTCCCTTTCCAAGTCCCGTTTTGTGTAAGTATCCAGCACAATTTCTTGATTGGTCATAGACTTGCTTGAATGTCAGGGACTTCCCACCGATTGAATTATCAACCTAAAATTAAAGTATTAGTATGTTTTGAATTATGTGGCTACCAGTGTCTGCACACTGTATATATATATGATGATAATTCTCGAGATGAGTTCATAGTAGTTGAAGATTAGTAGGAATAGTGGAGGTTTGGAATGACCTACGAACACATTTCGTGTTTATTCGGTCAAACGAGGGTATTTGCGCTGTGTAGAAGTTACGTTGGGGATCAACATGGTTGTTACAACAATTTGTATGTATGTATATTTGTATCAGAAATTCAACAGCATTTGTAGAATAATTAAACATTATAACAGAGACGGGATACATGTACAAGACGAAACGCAGTCGTGCGACATGTAGGCCTACCCTTTTCAAGTATGACATCAGGTTAGAGAGATGGCCAACGCATTTTCACATTTTCTTTCATATTGAGTCATTTCATGCAGTATTCCTGGCCATCGACTATTATAACTGATAAAACTGTTTGCTCCTAAATACACATGTCTATCGCATAATTATGAACTATGCTTACATGCGGTCACTTTATTTTCATTAGGGACGAAGTACGATTAACCCAATGCACTGGCGCCATAAAAGGCGTTCAGATCAGCTTTTTCACCAGAAATATATTCACTCACTAATGCAATCTCCTCTCCATGCTGCTTCATAGCGTCGAACATAACGTTCGGAAATGATTTGTCTGGTAATTGAATATCGGGAAAAGGACTTCTGAACGGCATATCGACTACACTTGTTAGGGCTATGTGGCAACTATTCATGCAACTAGTCCATAAATTTACAATAGAATAATTAAATTTAATATATTAAATAATATCAAATAAAACTCAGTTACTTAACTTAGTTACTCAATTAAGAAATTGTAGACGGACTTTTTATTTCTATACAATTTATATAGAACTTTCGAAAGAATCAGTTCGAACTGTGTATATTTTGTGAATAGGGCTGGGAATTTCAGGAAAAACACTTTAACCGTTACCCGGGTAAAGTTAACGGGTTAACTGGGCGTGACGTTAAAAGTAATAATTTTCAATTTTAGCTGGTTACGTCACAATGGTTACAAAGCCATTCCGCTTGATCTTATATCGCTCAAAATTATTTACGAATCGAGATAATTTCATGATCGCTCTGCTGCAAGAGATATGCAGCGTGGTTCGAACATATGGTAGTATTTTAGTAAAACCCAGTTCCGTTATAAAATGTCATTTATGTGTCGAATTTTCAGTGTTCAATGTGCAAATTCTACTTTGAGATATAATAAAGAAAAACAGCATCAACTGCGCACTTGTTGGATGACATTAAATGTACAATTTTGCAATAAAATCGAGAACAATATATTTCGACCGAAAACTGATTCTGAATTTATCATTGTCAAATTTTCATAATCAGCAATCTTGGTACTTCAAATATTTTTCACATTTGAGTCCTTACCAATACAGTTAGTGATATTCTTTTGAATTAAACGCCACAGGAGATAAATTTGTGATGACGTAATCATTTTTGAAGGAATTGTACATCATAAAGATGATTGTACCTGAGATGTCAGTTAACGGTTAAAATAAATCGTAACCGTTAACCATCTAAAATCGATTAACCGGGTAATCATTCCCAGCCCTACTTGTGAAGCAAGGACAGTTTATTTCAGAGCTGAGTCTCTATAAAAATTGCCAGGAAATCAATATAGCTCGAAAACTAGCTTTGGGCATTTCTCATTCTTTTTATTAATATATATATTATAACTAGGCTTGCACGTAATTTACGGATTTACGGAATTACGGAATTATTTTGAGTTACGGAAGCGAAGTTACGAATTACGTAAATTCGTAAGTATTGGTGGAGCGCTTTCGCGATTGCAACCGAGCTCTCTTTAGAGCAGTCAATTCCGTCGATTGTAAAAAATTAAAGTTTAATAAGTAGAAGAAGTTAGAGTTCCGGTATTCGCAGCCGTTTTTTTCTCTCTTGTTATGCAGATGGAGAAGGCATAACGCGTTGCCATTTACTAACCTATTACCAACTTATCTAGCATGGCAAATGTACATATCAAGCGTAGATATGGGATAGAATTGTGTTGAGACTGATGGACGCCAACACATCTGGTTTCAACTTCTTCGGGTGAAATGACTAAAGAATGTAAGAGATCAACTTATAAAACATGGTCTATTTGTAAATGCCGTGATAATTAATGTCGCGCTTATCAAACAGCAATATGACGACGGAAGAGAACTTGCGTAATGAACCAACGCAACTTAGTCTTTCCGGCATCGGTAAAGCGATTCAGACGGCAGAGAAACAACAAAAAGACGGGATTTCCCATGTTTATTCTGCGCGAGATCCATTTTCTATTACAAAATCTTGATGTTCTGTTACCGGTTTTATCCTTATATATCTGTCCGTACTTGGCCTTGTTTTCACAATGCCTCGCACTATCTCGGCCAAATATGTCTTTACAATATCTTTAAGTCTTTACCAAATGCGGCAACTTATTTTGATTTATCGTCGACTCAAATACCACCGGCACTCGACCAAACTTGTGTCAATCTTAGCCGATAGGATTGTCGACTTGAGTTAGAAAAGTAAATTAATATTTTCGTGAGTGTAAAATAAATGCCACCAAATACATTGTTTTGCGATATAACTTTGTATTTTCGGAGAAGGCATGTCACATAAGTACGGTATTTAAATAATGCGCAAATAATTGATATTTAATCTAAATTTATCGCAAATAATGTTATAACATTTAGGCCGCGAAATGATTTAATGTAAAATGAAGCATGGTAATCGGAATATCGTCAATAAGTCGGCATCAATAATTATTATAAAATGCTAACTAGGTAGTGAAGTCGGATAATGTAAAAAAAACGGTACAATAACAAGTCTTTGTCGTGAGGCAAGTATAATCAAACGAGAGAATACGCTCGTCGTTGATTTATAAATTAGAAACCCGGAATTTTTATTTAATACGAAACTCGTAATACGAAACTCGTATTAATACGTTAATACGATTTTAAAAAAGTCAACTATCGTTTCATAAATATATTACCACATACCAGTGTTGGTAATGATAAAATTGATCGCATAAAATTGGGTGATAAAGTTGATAAAGGAAAATCAAAGCTAACACAAAAGATAAAAATCAGAATAAAATTAATTTGAATTCACTCCTTGATATTTGTCTTTAGCATATGTCGCCGGCGTGTAGTACTGGCGGAAATATGAAAACCAAACTGTCCCAACTGTCGATGTCCCATTCGGAATAGAAGTGGATTAAATTGGTTGTTATGATAGGTTTAAAAGTGTGAAAAAAATATCGCAATTACGGGGTCATTACGTAATCGATTTGGCCGTAATTACGGAATTAATTTTTGTCAATTACGTGCAAGCCTAATTATAACGGGCTAAACTCTCACACACATGTAAAAGAATAGGCTTTCCCTGAATACTTTCAATTACCCACTGAATATTAGATGCTAAGAGTTAAGGACTTTCATTTCACAAAGTTGTTACCATGGCATGCACCCTCTTTATAGTTCTTTACAAGTTGCTAACTCTTATATAAGTATACGCTTTTAGTTGAACGCGCGAAACCTTCTTTGAGAAACGCTCATAAAAAGTGCTTTGTGCTTCCTGAAGTGACCAAACATACACTGGATGCAAGCAAACTAGCTGAATCAGCAAGAGGGTTGTTCCAGTTTACTTAATAAATTAGCGTGTTTGACTAACCGCATTCTGTTAATAGCATGCGGGTCATTTACCTAACTCACTTTGTCAAAAGACTCGACGAGATTTGTTGAACATTGCAGATGTTTAATGAGAAAAGCGTTAGCTACAACATGCGCCGTTCCTAATACTTCTGAGGTATTTTCCTTTGTTTATTTCTAATTTCTTGTAGCTTATTCTATTTAAGAATTTTTATAACAAACTTTACACAGTTCTTGACACAATAATCACCGTTTTCCATTTAGGCTAGAGACATTTAACATAACTAAAGTCTTCACATAAAACACACACCTGATTGGCAACAGTACAAAACCAACGGGGTTTAATATTATATATCCTTCCCTATTTCTATAGTGTACGTGTTCGATAGGTGTTTGGAATTCGATTCGCTCAAAATTCGCTAATTATATATGCACAATAATATTCAGACTACACTGATATTTATTAGAAAACATAGAAGCCACAGGTTGACATTTATGAATAGAAAAATACCCAACAATCAAAAGAGCATGATCTATATGTAGTGTTTGAATACGTTTATCACGCTTCAAAAGTCATTTTCTTCAGTTCCTGTCGTAAAATCTTTGCTAGTGACGATTTGGGTATCTTATCTACAAACTCAACGCCTCCTCTCAGATGCTTGAAATCAACCAAGTTTTCTGAAGTGAAATGCTTTCATTAGATTTATTTATATGTTTGATATAAATTTATATGCTCTCTCTTATGCATAACTTATGTTTATAGGATATTAGATATGATGCATACCCTTTACACAAGAGATGACTTCTGTGTCTGCCAGAGAATGATCTTTCTTCACAACAAAAGCTTACGGAAGTTCACCGGCTTCGTAATCGTGAATTCCAATAACTCCTACATCTGCTACTTTAGGATGTTCCAATAATAAACTTTCCAATTCTGCTGGAGAAACCTGAAAATATAATAGTGATTAAAATAAAAAAGTGTACGTGGTGTAAAATAAAGTAAATTAGGAGCTTATTCACTAATTAATAAAGCGTTCGTTATTTTATTTTAAATAGAAATATGAAATGAAATTGAAACCTGAAAAGTTTTATATTTGATAACTTCTTTTAGACGATCGACAATGTACAGCAATCCATCTTTATCAAAATGTCCAATATCACCAGTATGCATCCAACCCTGTTCAGTTATAGTTTGTGCCGTAGCCTCAGGGTTCCCCATATGTCCTTTCATTACCTTTGTGTAAAAATAGACATAGGGCTTCGTGGGTATTGTTACACACTTTCTCTCGGACCGAAACTATATAAGATGCTCTTCATGAAATGTTTAATATTTACGGCTTTCTGCGTAAACCAAGGTATTTGATATAACCACATTTAATGTAATGACGACTGTGAACTTGTCAGCGAATCAAATGCAAAATCTCTCATCTGCGAAACCAACGTAATTGACCAAAACTTAAAATTCAGCACAAACACAATATGGCCAAAGATTACAGTCTGTGCAAATCATGAAATTCTTTTTTATAGACCTGAGCAGTTTAGCTATGACATAATCAATAGCGAATAAATAACATCGTTTTGTTTCAGAAATTATATTGTAGAATTGTACCTGAAAACCTAATTAACAAGTATTTCTCCATCTCTGTCTGTAGAAAGTTCTTCTCCACTAACAAGATCTATGATCTGCAAAGGTAACAAATGCAGGGTGTAATTTTTAACATTCATTAAGCAATTCAAGGTATATTATCTCGACTGCATTGGATCGGTTAAGCACACGCGTCAGATTACTGGTGTAGCAAAGATTGATTTGAAAAAGTCTGGTTAATGTGGATTATAATAACCTTTTAAATGTCAATAGTGTGCGTTGAATACTCGATATACTGTTCTCAATAACAAGGAGAGGTTGATCTCGAGAGTTTCGTTTTTCACTCGTGGCTATCGTGCCAGTATATTATGACGGTGTATTTATTAACAATATAAGTTCTATTCTCATTTTATTAGTTACTTGCAATATATCAATTCGATTATGTACATCAAATTATGTACATGGCGAAATACTGAATGAAACATATCGACCTTCGGCTATTCCATCAGAAATTCTCTAAAGGCATAACCACTCAAAATTATGATGTCGTTTCCATGTTTAATTACTTACCTAATTACATGCTCTACTTGAATTGCATCTGCTTTTTATTTCGTGTATATTCAAAAATATTCATTATTTAAATAGCTATTGTGGTTCAATTATGCAAGTTAATTTTATCTTTACTTAATGTGGAATTTTGTAAACCAAAAATGAAATAGCTCAAAAAGCTTAAAATGAGCACGAGCAGGTTATGAAAATAAAATTCTAAATATTGCATGTACGAACCTTGACCTCTGTGCCAGGACTGACTGGTCCTTACCAATACAGTACCAGCCGCAGTGATCAGACTATCATTACCTACGTGAAAAGCAATTCCCATTGCTTCAGTCATGCCATAACCTGCCAAATGAATTAGACAATTTAAAAACTTCGACACATTCAGTTTTCAGATCTGAATCATCACAACTAATCGACACAGCTTGTCATGTTATTTGTGATGAAATTCAACATAATTTGCATTATCGCAATGTATTGTTTGTGTTTCTTTAAATTTATTTAGCTGAATTACACCCTAGACTTCTGTTATTCTTTTTTCAGTGGCTGTTTTATAAGGAAATTTGCTCAAAGCAAGGTCACGTCGGTCAAAAATATAGATCTCCGAGCATAGTTACCGGCGAGCGCTGAAGTGCTAAGAGCTCAGACTATAAAAGAATAAATCATTATAGCGTAGAATTGTCCATCATAGTTAATACTGATTGACTCGGGGCTTGAGGCAGTATACCACATAGCTGAAGTTTTTTTGAAAAAAAAACTGAGGCTTTTTTGCAGGAACAAGTTCCGAAAGTTCAGAAGAACAGTCTAATAATATATATATAGAGAGAATTGAGCGTGGAATGGTGTGCGGCCCGCAAAACGAGTTTTTAATTTAGTTTAATCTGATCGTGCGAGTAATTACAATCCCTTTGCGTTGCAAAGCCTATACCTGAGTCCAATTTATTATCTATGCTCATAAAGTTACAATGCCCTAAGTTCAAGCTTGTGCGAAGCGAACATCGCATGTCATAAGATCAACAGCCAAATTTATCTGAAACAAAAAAATCACAAAACACCAGCAACATTTTAACGAGAATATCGGTCGGAGACCGAAGACTCATCGATCGAAAGTTAGGAGATCCCCCAAAACAGAAACTGCGGTTTCGATTCCTACGCTCTCACTCCACAGCGACACCACGTGTCCCATCACTAATTAATTAATAACTCGCTAATTATACGACATAATTCGTCCAAAATCAATAGGCTTCTGGTCCGAGATATGATGAATGTACATGTAAATTTGGAGCAGATTCAACCGCTCTTTCGTGAGATATCGCGAGCGTCTAACAGACATACAGACAAATACCTATAATCATACTTACTGATCGAGATCGATAAGTAATGAAGAATGCAAACGAGTTTGTGAATAAATAAAACACATTCCCCGCGAAAACTTATATATATTCGTAAAATTATGATGAATTAATGCAACAAACTTTACATTTGTTGTAGTCAGCTTTAACCATATCTTTCATAGTCACAAATTCTTCGCTGTTTCCGATGATGAATAATTTCTTGAAGCAAAATCGAAAAATTCATTACAAAAAATATTTAAAAATTGGTATAACAATTTATTTGTTACTTTAGAATCTTGTGAAACGATAAAAATATTTCTCAACACAGCATATTCACAGTTACTTCGGGATCAGGAAAATCTTGTTTCACTGTATTAAAATTGTATGAAACTGACATTATAGGACATGAAGTTACCTCTAAACACGTAAGTTGACTTTGAACTTTTTTAACAGTATCCAGGCTATCTTCGTGTACAATTGCCATTTTGGGGTGAGTTATCTCGAACTATTGAATCATTTCACCATGGAATTATAGAGAATATTCACCTACTTTGTTTAATTCGAGAGATATATGAAAAATAATACTTCCTAATGGCTTGGAAGTGTACAAAGAAATGAAATCATAGATTTTACGATAATAGGATTGAAATATAAGTAAGAAGGCAGCGCTCAAATATTTAGTTCTTACCCTGACAGGTATCTTTTAACGTTAATTCCGCTGGCCACACGCTTACCTATATTGATTGAAACTAATTCTGCATGAGAACGCTTTTTAAAATGCTAGATGTGGGGTAAACCAACATTCATATAAGCAGCTCAAGAAAAAGTACGTCACCATTCGAAATTGACCGGTATTGAATAAACTTAAAATATTTATTTATGATAAGAAGTTTTATCATACTTTATTTGCGATCTAATTCAAAGGAATTAAATTTGCAAGAAGTTTCGGTGTAAATACAAAACTATATCTAGTTACTCAACACTACCTTCGCTATATGCTGGATTACATGGAGTTACAACAGCACCACAAGCCATGACTCCAAACATTGCAATTGCAAACTCGAGACAGGTTGGAGCACAAATCACAACAACATCGCCTTTATGAAGTCCAATATTGTGGAGATATCCCGCATAATTTTTTGTTTGGTCGTGGATCTGCCTGAAACTTAATGTCTTGACTCCAGACAAATTGTCGATCTGTAAAATCAAGATTTGGCGAATAAATTCAAATCGCACAATCTTAGTTTCAGCGGCAGACCAAAGACCAGCAAGCAACTAATAGTTTACAACGGCTCATCAGTAATCTCTTAAAAAATATAAATCTTTATTTATCTACCATTAAGTATGCGTATCTTGGATCAAAAGAGTTTACACTCTATTCTGTATAAAACTTACCAATCCAATTTCGTCTCCTCTTTTGATAATACATTCAAAAATGAGATCGGTCAGAGATTTATTTGGAATTTCTACGTCAGGGTAAAGGCTTTTCACGGGCATGTTGCTCGATATTATATTACAAGATCAGTTGCAATATATCACGTTTTATGCACTCCAGTTTGATGAAATATAGTGACTTATGATATCACAATCACTAATGAAAATTATTGTACCAACATTATGATAAATTTACTTCACTTATAGTACAGACAAAACTGCAAGCTATCAAAATACTTGCACATCCATGACCAAATAACCAACCTTTTGAGATATTTCAAGTTTTTATTATTAGCGTATGAACGCCATAATTTTATAAAAAGCAATAATGCGCCACATGCTGATACTTCCCTTAGAATATTTTCTTTTTAGTTCCTTTTTTGTATTACAAACACAATTCCAATCAGTCTCAGCAATTAAAGAAAATCAATATGAATTACGTACTGGGGTAAGAGTCTAAATCTGACATGAGCAAAATACAGCCCGGGGGCCAAATCCGGTCCGTTAGATATTTGAACATGGCCCGACTGATGTTGCCACAACCAAACTAAAACCAAATTTTGGAGTTTTAGCTAAAAAATGGCTTGAAGAATTTGTTGAGATTGCGATTCAATTTAGTTTTGTCACGAAGCTTCTTGTTTTTCACTTTTGCTTTTGTAACATTGTAAATATTGTTCGTAAAACGTAACTTTCTATGTCACACTTACATGGCCCGCCAGTCTAGGTGAGCGAAATTTGTCCAAACACCTTGCCCACTCCTGGTCTAAATGGTAGAGATGATTACGTAGACTCCACGATATATGAACCCGTGTCCCTTTATACTTCCCACCGCTGCCTGAAAACAAAACTTGTACATAATTTTAAATTCCACCGAGGAACATCACATAAAGATATAGGAGTACTGCAGCGAAATTCTGATCCAATCGCGATGAACTGGAACTCAATAACATTCGCAATGCTGACCTTACTCTGGATATTACCATAACTTTACATATCGAGAATGACATTACAATTTTAAATGAATATATATTTGAGTGGAATGTTTACATATGTAACAAAGGACTCTTTGTAAGATGAACCTTACGAATGAAAGACCTGACAATCAATGGAGGGATACTTCGTGAACAAACGTGGAAATTGTCCAACGTACCTATTATTTTGTTGTCATTTGTGTAAATAAAACAAACTGTGGACAAAATAGTTTATCCTCACTCATGATGTCAAAGTTGGAAGTTGTCGTGTTCGATGTCGTAATTAATTTGGACGATATATCTATACAACAACTGATTTTGCAATAAAATAGGCTTATCTTATATCGGTCATCTAGAAAAAAGATAATATTAAAATCATTTTGCAAATCCTAATTTATCATTTAAGCGTTTTTGCAGGGTTAAACTAGACGTGCGTAATCGGTAATGTTAGAAAAGTCTCGCACTTCGAATTGCGGTTGCTGTTGTGGCTGCAACGTTTTGACAAATATGTAATCAAGCACTCATTGGGGTTCATATTATACTATATTGGCCATTTTCCAAGCAAGTCTCGACTTCGACCTCTTTTGACCGCCCATATTTAAATTATGCCATTGGAAATCCCATTCTTCGTCTATGATTTATGTTTCATCAAACTACATCCAGTTTGTTTGTATTTCACTCCAACTATCCGGTCAGACACAGCGATTTATTGAGATGAAAAGACATAATAAGTTGGGTTCATGGTGCAATATGTATATTACTCATTGCTGCTGTTCCTTTTAGCAATAATAAGTGTATGATATAATAGTTTTGTTTATTGTCAAACACAGTGAAATTCTGAAATTTTCAGGGGCACATGGATGATACATATATGCGACTAAATAATTTTAATTTGAGACCTAGTCTTATAGCTTTATACAAATCATATTATTCAGTATGAAAAAACCCAACGCCTTTTCACTTAAATTATCATATATTTAAATATATTGATTCATCTTCTTTGCAATATTCATGACTCTTAGTAATGTATTAGATCAAAAATAAACCAGAAAATACACTTTGGACTGTGGTTTTTGAACGCATACGGTACCTATCAGTCAATATTATGATTATCTAAAAGTATCGGCTTTCTTAGATTTTAACGTGAACACATTTTTTTTTTGCAAAAATATGATGAATTTTTAATCAGCAAAAATTTTAAATGCATCATATCAATCATGTCAATTCAAAATGTCGAATTGCGTCAATTGGCTTATATTCCATGATATTACTCGGAATATGGCTACCATCTGATTACGTAGTCCTACTGTGTTTAAGATAGTTGAAACCACGCTTCGCTGATCTGTTACGAGTTGTTGTGTTTTGTATATACCCTATAGTTAGTTGTCCTGGGAAATTAAGAATTTTTAAGAAAAGTGAAATTAGATATTACATTGTCAATAAAATTGTAATTTCGAGCAAACGTGATAAAATAATCTAAGAGAGGTTTTAATAATAAGAGACCAAATCTTGTGATAAATGCATTATTCCGTTTACTTCCCAAGGGAAACACTATTAGTGTCATTCCTAAAAATTGTATAAAATCATGGGCATAATTGCGATAAAC